CGCCTCTACACTTAACCCAAAGATTCTCAACAGACTTTTCTCCAGTTTCATACTGGAGCTCTGAGCAATCATACCACTCTCTTACGTACAGTGCAACTCCTCCAACTTTTCTCCCCTGCCTGTCCTTCCTGAACAGTTTATACCCATCCATGACAGTGCTCCAGTCATGTGAGTTACCCCACCAAGCCTCTGTTATTCCAAACACATCATAGTTCCTTGACTGTGCCAGGACTTCCAATTCTTCCTGCTTGTTTCCCAGGCTTTGTGCATTCGTGTACAGGCACCTAAGATAACTAGCCGACTGCCCTACTTTCTCAGTATTAATCAGAAGGGATGATCCATTGAGTAATTAAATTTTAAATTACCTGTTCATCATCTAAACCACCAATATATGTGTAATTGGGCATCAGACAATGCTACTGCCAGTTAAGATGATGACCACTTTAGTTTAAGGTAATAAAATGGTCAAGAAACCATTTGGAAGCGATAAACACATCACAAGAAACAGAGAGAGGACTAGCTACTGATCAAACACTGCCCACGTGTTTCATATAGTCAGGCCTCTAACCTGTTCACACTAGTCCACTATGAAGTCTGTTATTTTGTAACAAATTATTTGTGCTCCTACTTTACAATTTCAATGTTCAGCAGTGAACTCTCATATCCATGCACAACATATTTAATCATGTAACCATGATTAGCTTCTTAGAAGAATGTGGAATTTGGAATCCAGAGTATGGAACCTAGTATTAACGATTAGGTAAACGATACACAAGGGAAGTATAACAAATTTGATAGGATTCTTTATCAAGACAGGAAAAACATTTTAGTTTCAAGTGAAAATCCAAGCAAACTGATGATGGATTAGCCAGGATTCCATGGTGTGGATGGAGAACATTGAGAATAGAATATATTTAATCATAGAAAGCAACTGCTGAACCTTCATATCCCCCTCCCCCCCCCCCAGTTCATATGTTTCTCTTTTCATTCCTTCTGCAACTGCATTAGATTAAATATCTGTTAGGACAATCAATTCTAGAGTGCCCTATGTAAAGATCTAAACTCCATTAGATTAAATTGGCAGCAATGTTACCGCAGTAAAAGCCAGTCTTTTCTAGGATATTGTATTCAATTTCAATATTCGGTGTCAATTAGAAAACTCTGTCCTTCGAGTCTGCATAATAATATAATGCTTTTGAATTAATCATTAAATTAACAGTAAATCTGTAAACAAATCCTGTCAATTTAATAAGATTTACTTCATACTGAAAAACTAGCTATAATTTACATCATAAAGAAGGTTGATCATGCCATCAGTGTAATCAAAATGAGTATGTTAATATGTAGTTACTTTTTTGTGTGCAATTTTACTTAATTACACTTAAAAAGCCCTCTACAGTTAAAAGACTGTAGGTTACAAAGTCAAGACACAAAATTTAAGATATTCCAGAATTAAGATTGCCTGTGCAACCTTAATCCTCCAATCCTCCTTCTTGTACATATACATTATGATACAGTCTTTAATTACATGATCACTCGCTATTTTTAAAAACAGTATTCCTGCCTCATTCAGTGCACAGAATGGATGGTGCTCACTGAATGTGCAGCTATTCAATATTTTGCTTTCTCCTCATCGTTCAATGTGTGGCCCCAGGCCTTATTTTCTGCACACTATTCAAACCCTGCTCTGAATGATTAATTTTCTCCTGCACGCTTCTATGAAGCTAATACTATGAGTATTTGACAAATATTAATGAATTTATTTTCATAACCTTCTTTGAGATAAAGCTGCATTATCCCCATTTTACAGATGAGAAACTGAAGTTGAGAGAGATAAAGATCAAAAGTGTACACTGGATGCCCAATTTGAGATGCCTAAGGCCTGATTTTTTCAGAATGCTTTGCATTTTATACAACTTTATATACTCAAAGCACTGTTTCCAGTGACTTCAGTTGCAGTTGTGAGTACTTAGCCCCTGGATCTCAAGCAGAGCACCAAGAAAAAGGAACACACGATTAGTAGCCACTTGCAAAATGTTTGGTTTAAGTGACTTTCCCAGAATCACATCGGAACACTCTGGAAAAGGCAGGGATAGAATCCAGTTCTCCAGGGCAACACTCAGCTGTCTTAACCATAAGACTGTCCTTCCTGTTCCCACAACCTCCTGCTTCGTTCACTGTGCACCTTCCAATTTCTGCAACAAATGAGGCAGGAGTCCTACAGACAACAGCCTTCTTCACTACAAAACCCTGATTCATCCCCAGAGCACCATCCATCCTATACAATGAATAAGGCAGGGACCCTGGGGGTAGGGGGGAGATAGCATGTGATCATATAATTAGAGGCTGTATCATAATGCATTTGCACAAAGTGACTGAATTAATGTTGAACAGGCAATCTTAATTCTGGAATTTCCTAAACTTTTGAGGGCTTGACTTTGCAACCTTAATATTCTTTTAATCTAGATGTGTGTGTGTAACTTCCCTTGATATTTTATAAAAGAAAACTGAAAAGACATCACATACTGACTTCTGCAAACCAGTTCTTGGAACCAGCTGAACTGTTTTTGTTGAAACTTTTATATATGTATAAAAAATCAGCCTGAAGCAAGCATGCAGAATGGAAAATTTCAGCCCAAACAATTACATTTTGGCAAAATTATAAGCAACTGAAAACAGGGTTTATAATAATACAATATAATAGAATCATAGGACTGGAAAGGACCTCGAGAAGTCATCTAGTCCAGTCCCCTACACTCATGGCAGGACTAAGTATTATCTAGACCAGGGGTCGGCAACCTTTCAGAAGTGGTGTGCCGAGTCTTCATTTATTCACTCTAATTTAAGCTTTCGCATGCCAGTAATACATTTTAACGTTTTTAGAAGGTCTATTTCTATAAGTCTATAATATATAACTAAACTATTGTTGTATGTAAAGTAAATAAGGTTTTTAAAATGTTTAAGAAGCTTCATTTAAAATTAAATTAAAATGCAGAACCTCCCGGACCGGTGGCCAGGACCCGAGCAGTGTGAGTGCCACTGAAAATCAGCTCGCGTGCCGCCTTCGGCACCCGTGCCATAGGTTGCCTACCCCTGATCTAGACCATCCCTGACAGATGTCTGTCTAACCTGCTCTTAAAAATTTCCGATGATGGAGATTCCACAACCTCCCTAGGCAATTTATTCCAGTGCTTAACCATCCTGACAGTTGGGAAATTTTTCCTAATGTCCAACCTAAACTGTTCTTGTTGAAATTTAAGCCCATTGGTTCCTGTCCTATCCTCAGAGGTTAAGGAAAACAACTTTTCCCCCTTCTTCTTGTATCAACCTTTTATGTACTGAAAAGTGTTATGTCCCCTCTCAGTCTTCTCTAGATTAAACAAACCCACATTTTTCAATCTTTCCTCATAGGTCATATTTTCTAGACGTTTAATAATTTTTGTTGCTCTTCTCTGGACTTTCTCCAATTTGTCCATATCTTTCCTGAAATGTGGCACCCAGAACTGGACACAATACTCCAGTTGAGTTAGAGCTAATCAGTGCGGAGTAGAGAGGAAGAATTACTTCTCATGTCTTGCTTACAACTCTCCTGCTAATACATCCAGAATGTTGTTTTCTTTTTTTGCAACAGTGTTACACTGTTGACTCATCATTTAGTTTGTGGTCCACTATGACCCCCAGATCCCTTTCCGGATTTGGTAGGCAGTCATTTCCCATTTTGTATGTGTGCACCTGATTGTGCCTTCCTAAGTGGAGTACTTTGCATTTGTCCTCACTGAATTTCATCCTCTTTACTTCAGACCATTTCTCCAGTTTGTCTGGATCATTTTGAATTAATGGGAAGTGTCGAGCAACCTTAACTAGATGACACTACCCGTTCCTCCCATGATTCTACTGAGACAGACAATTCTGCATCGCTGAAGTCCCCCCCGCCCCTCCCCAATGGCATCAACTTTTGTGACAATCTTGGGTAAAACAGTTAAAATCTACACATTCAGTTCAATGACTCAAATCAAATTTTTAAATCTGCATTAGTAAAAGATTACTTTTAAGAGCAGATATTAATTTCATTCAGATGTGGTATTAAAAAGTACCATGATGGCTTCACAAACACATTTCTCTCATGAATCACCAGATTAATTAACTGGACTTTTTTAATGATTCAGTATCACAGAACTACACACTAAGATGTGTCTTGCCAGTTCCCAGTCAACTAGGACTGTTATTTTATTCTGATCAAGCAATTTTTTTTTTTAAACCCCATACCTGGAGATGAACTGGAAAGTATTAAATACTTCGTAAGTAGTAAAAGGGAAGGTCCTTAGACTAGTATTTCTCTATATTGTTTGGCATTGTTGAACCTAGGGTCATGGTAGATTCTCTATCTCTAGCAATTTTTAAACCAAGATTGGATTTTTGTTTAAAAGATATGCTATAGGAACTATTTGGGGGGAACTTTGATGGCCCATGTTATACAGGAAGGAGGTCAGACTAGATGATCACAATGGTCCTTTTTGGCTTTGGAATCTATGAATCCTTGTACATTTTATTTTTTGTTGCTGAACTACTGTTATTATGCTGCACCTACACATTTTCTTATAACTTTCACCTTTTCAGAATTGCAGTTAGGGCTGTTAAAAAAGTGACCAGATTTTTACAAAAGAATTCCAAAAAATCCTAATGAATTTCAAAAGAAAAAATGGCAAAGAAGTCTTTCATAATCATTCCATTATATAGTAGCAATGAAGCAAAATAATCATGAAAAACAAGCATTAAAACATCAATGATAAAAGATGCTATAATAATTTGAGGGCATTTGAAAAGAGATCTAGGAATTATAAAGTAAAATCTCTGAAAAACAACTTTAAATGAAATCTTGGTAAATGTTAAGAAAAACCACATGAGAAAACAGTTTGTAATTAAACATCAGATTTTTTAAATCTCAATTCATCTCAGCCTCTGTTAGAATAATTACACAGTTATTAAACAGATATTTACCTGTTGGAACGAGACAATCTTTCCAATCAAAATATCCTGCATAAATGCCAGGTTCTAATGAGCCAACTATAGGATCTGCCTTCAATTCAATGTAAATTTCAAACAGTCTTTGATCCAACTCCTTTAAGGATTCCATACTAATCTAAAATCAAAACAAAAAGAAAAGCACACTTAATTATGAAAGCAAGAATAATAATGAACAATTTATGGGTTGTCTTCTCTTTGATTTTTAGGAAACATGCCATATGCTTACAACCTTTTAATTTTAAACAATATCTCTTTGACTGTAAGAATTTCCATACTAAATCACATCACTGGGCAGACTAGTCCAGTATCCCTTTTCTGACTGTGGCCAGTACCAGATGCTTCACAGAAAGACGTAAGAAACTCCATAGTGGAGAATCATGGAATAACCTTCCCATAAGCATAATTTCTTCCTAATTCTGTCATTTACGAATTGATCCTGCATCACTGAAGGCAATGGGAATTTTACCAGTGACTTCAATGGGAGCAGGATCAAGCCTTTAGTGGCTGGCTTATGTCCTGAAACATGAATGCTTAAAATCCTTACAATATTTTTAACCCACCTAATGTAACTGGATTTTTTTTATTATTCATTGTATATAGAGTTTAATCCTTTTGAAAAATTCAGTTTCACCAGAGATCTGTGACCTCTTAGCAGCTTATTCAAAGTTCACTGCAAGTACACCTCTACCCCGATATAACACGACCCGATAGAACACGAATTAGAATATAACGCGGTAAAGCAGTGCTCAGGGGCGGGAAGGGGGAGGGGGAGAGAGCTGCGCACTCCGGGGGATCAAAGCAAGTTCGATATAATGTGGTTTCACCTATAACGTGGTAAGATATTTTGGCTCCCGAGGACAGCGTTATATCGGGGTAGAGGTGTACTATTTTAAAGTATCCTTGTACAACAAAACAATAAGCTGCAGCTCTTTTGGGTACATTATAGAGCAAGGACGTGCTCTTCTTTCCTTTGTGTGAATACAGCTAAATACAAGCACTACAATTACTGAAACCTCCAAATAAAGTAACTAAACTGTGAAACACTCTTACAAAAAGATTAGTCAATGAGATACATGTATGTGTACGTTTCACTTGCTCGCTATATTTAAAGACTGTACCTCTTTCAATACTGCACAAGTATTTTCTTCTTAATATAACTACACAAGATAGCTACATTTTCTAAAGCAATTCCAGAACATAATGTGAAACCTGAAATGTAGACAATACTAAAAGTAGTAGAAAGTTAACATCCTGATATCACCATGAATGCTAATTAAACAAGTCATGCAGAAAATGACATGGGACCACTTGTTGAAGATATTTATGTTTATGAGCTTATCAGATTTCAAGGTAAAAATTTTTAAATGTCACTCAGCACGTTTCTCAGTCACTGTGAGGTTTAGGGACTTCCCCTCTCACCTGAACACCTCTCATCCTGGAAGGCTCAAGACCAACCCAGAAGAACAGAAGTAAAAGGCAGGGGGGAAAAAAGCCCTAGCACTTCACTGCCTTCTTCCCATGGAGACTTATCAGATAGGAGTCCCTGTGCTGAAAACCACTTGAAGATTCACTGAATGAAGCAAGGAGGAAATCATTGATGCTTCTGTTGCTCTGCCTTCTCCTACTACACCCCTAATCTGTTCCTGAGCACTCTAATCATAAATCACTGGGTCCTGATGGTGGTGTAGATGGTGAGAGGAGGTCTCTTGAGCTAGATATGGGGGAGAGAAACAGGAGTTCTGGAGGGGAATGTGAATATGGGAGAAAGCAGGTAGATTGGTGGGGACATGGAGGCTCCCAGCAGCAGAGGAGTCCAATAGGAGAAATTGGTGCTCAGGAGCAGCATACACTAGTGCTTTCCTGCTTTCTCCACCTAGTGAACCTCCTGAGCGGTGTCAGAAGTGAGTCCAACAGCTGAGAACCACAAAGGTCCATAAAAAGGTGCTCAGATCAGCAGGAGGGGAGCATTCATGAGGGCAGTGAGAACTGGCCCTCAGGAAAAGGTCAGGAATGCAATTCCTTCCCTCCCTACCACCCACTTCCTGTGGGATTTCTGAAGTCTGCGAAGGGGAGAACCCGCACGGAGACCTACCCCACCTCTTCCTACTCCTGCCTGTGTGAGTCTTAAGATTGGCAGCCTCCCTCATGAGCCTTTTAATAGAAAAATCTCCCTCACCACCCGCATGAACAAATGGACAAGTGACAGGTTACATTTTCAGCTTTATCTCTGTAAGGAAAAGAGATAGTGATTTACTTATTTTAAAATACAAGCTAAGGACTCTATTTTCATGTCCATGAGCCAGTCATTCCTACTGATGTTCCAATTCAAAAGCAAGAAAGTTTAGAATCTAAAGAACAAAAGTTTGTTCTTGTGCATAAAACCCATAGTTTTATATTTCCCTGGATTTGTTTTTTTGGGGGGGGGATGGGGTGGGAGAAGAGAGGGCTACGAAATAGCATACTTACCTAGCCCCTTTTCCACTTCAGTTCATACTGTATAAAAAAATTCTACCTCAGCACCAGATCTAACCTACTAAATATGAGACACACAAAGTAGGTGAGGTAATACCTTTTATTGGACCAACTTCTGTTGGTGAAAGAGAGAAACTTTAGGGCTCCAAATATCAATATTGAAGGACATTATCTTACCCACCCGGTCTCTCTCACATCCAGGGAGTAACATAGATACAACAACACTGCAAACCACTAACTATGAGGTAGATATAGTTTTTTTAGTGTAGATCTTAGGGTGGAGGTGTGTGGAGTTGGAGGTTATAATGGAAACTCATTTGTAATTTTAATTATGGAGCAACAGCTCAAACTTATATTCCCACTTTCTCAAGCATTAGTTCATTCTGCCTTTTATTTCACCCTCATCTTCATTCTGCAAGCTTTAACTGACTCCATATATTATTTGTTTCCTTCTATCCTTTCCACGTCCAGTACAGTTTTGGTTTGTTTTTAGCCATATGACTATGTTTGGTTCTTCAGCCATGAATTCTCTATTACAAATGCCCTCCCACTTGTGGAGTCCTCAACAGTTCAAGTCTGGGTCTGTGTGATTTGGAAAGAACTGTGTACACTTACAAGACTCCATAAGAAAGAGATGTGTGGATTCATCTTCAATTAAAATAATAGATAAATATATATGTGCAAATTAATGGTGGCACTCAGGATCTTGGGAAGCTGCCAATTTGGCCCTCTGTGCTATAAAATTTGCACATCACTGATGCAGAGCCAGGTTTTCAAAACAGTGGTCAAGTAATTTGATTTTAGTCATTCTATGGACAATGAACATCATGTAACTTAGGGCCTCTCTGATGCCCACTGAACTCAATGGTAAGGTTTCCTTAAGTATCTAATACCCAAGGGAATTCCCCTGACTCACAAACATCAGAAAGAAGCATTAATATTCCCACTAACCTATAAAAAAGAGAAGCATCTTGAAATCAATTCAAACTGGTAACATTTAGTGATGAGGTCACCATGGCTGTGATTAGTGAATCTTTTGGTCTTTTATAAAAAAAAGGATTTCTTTTGGACAGAAATGTTTTAGACTATTTCCACCTTAAAATGAAATATTTCTGGGTCAATCAAGAAGATAATGCTAATTAGGTTAGATCTTACACTCCTGACTGAAGTCAGGATCTGCTCTGTACTTCCTAAAACTGTTAAGTTAAAAAATCTTTCAGGGCTTTGGCAGGTTTCCCATAAAAAGTATTTAGTGTTTTAAGATGTGTAAAACTCCTCCCTGGAATTGCTTGATCACATCTAAAATACAGTATGGTGCATTCTCTTGATTTGGCAAAGACAGATTGTGCAAGAATAAGGTTACAGGCTGGGGTTGTTGGCTCCCCCATCTAAGCTTATCTGTGATACTGCAACACAACAGTGTAATTCTACTTAACTATAGGAGAAAGGAGATTTGTCAGTAGACAGTAGCTGTCACTGCCTACACTTCCTTTATCTGAACTCACTCCTGAATGGCTGAAAATAACACTTAATCTGATAATGCATCTGTGTAAACCTATTACAAGAGAATGAAAGACTGAAAGTACTTTGAATAAACAGAAAAAAGTACAGTGATTATAAATGTTTAGTGCCTGATGGCATTCACATGGAAATATGACTAGATGAGTCAGCTCACAGACTCATAGACTTTAAGGTCAGAAGGGACAATCATGATCATCTAATCTGACCACTAATCTGTCCATGAGGAATCAGTGGATACAGCAACTCCCAAAAACTACAACTGCAGCCAAAATACTATTCTATTTTCTTTCACGGTATTTGTGCAATAGTAGCATGTTGCCTGACCTCCTACAAGTTATCTGTTCAGTACTTAATATGAAACATTAATATTATTCAATTAGCACTCAATGTATGTTTTAAACACTGTTTTCTAAACTGGCTACCAAATGAACTCTTAGAAGGATAATCTAACTATCCATCTAGGTACTAATATAGCCCTCACGATCACCCTATGAACATTTATATAACGGCCATGCTGGGTCAGACCAATGATCCATCTAACCTAGCATCCTGTCTTCTGGTCGTGGCCAGGGCCTGACGCTTCAGAAGGAATGAACAGAACAGGGCAATTATTGGATAATTCATCCCCTCTCAGCCATTCTCAGCTTCTCGTAATCAGAGGTTCAGAGACACCAAAAGCATGGGGTTGTGTACCTGACCATTTTAGCTATAGACTTTGATGGACCTATCCTCCATGAACTTACCTAATTCTTTTTTCAACCCAGTTATACTTTTAGCCTTTACAATAGCCCCCGGCAACAAATTCCACAGGTTGACTACGTGTCGTGTGAAGAAGTACTTTGTTATGTTTGTTTCAAACCTACTGCCTATTAATTTCATCGGGTGACTTCTGGTTCTTGTACTGAGAAGGGGTAAATTACACTTCGCTATTCACTTTTTCCACACCATTCACGATTTTATAGACCTCATCATAACCCCCCTTCAGTCATCTCTATTCTAAAGCAATCTTTTTTGATATCTCCTCATATGGAAGCTGTTCCATATCCCTAATCATTTTTGTTGCCCTTCTCTATACCTTTTCCAATTCTAATATCTTTTTTGAGATGAGACAACCAGAACTGCACACAGTATTCAAGCTGTGGGTGTACAATGGAGTTATATAGTGGCGTTGTGATATTTTCTCTCTTATTATTTATCCCTTTCCTAACATTGTTAGCTTTTTTGACTCCTGCTGCACATCAACCTGATGTTTTCAGAGAACTATCCAGGATGATTCTAAGAACTCTTTCTTGAATGGTAACAACTAATTTAGAGCCCATAATTTTATCTGAATAGTTGGGATTATTTTTTCCAGTGTGAATTACTTTGCACTTATCAACATTAAATTTCATCTGCCATATTGTTGCCCAGTGACCCAATTTTGTGAAAATCTTCACAGTCACCTTTGGACCTAACTGTCTTCAGTAATTTTGTATTGTCTGCAACTTTGCTACCTCTATGTTTATCCCCTTTTCAAGATCATTTATGAATACGTTGAACAGCACAGGTCCCAGTATGGATCATCAGGGGACCCCAATATTTACCTCTTTCCATTGTGAAAACTCATCATTTAATCCTACCCTTTTTCTTCAATCTTTTAACCAGTTACTGATCCATAAGAGGACCATCCTTATTATCACAATTGCTTACTTTACTTAAGAATCTCTGGTGTGGGAGATTTCTGAAAGTCCAAGTACACTACATCAACTGGATCACCTTTGTCCACACACTGTTGTTGACACCCTCAGAGAATTCTAATAGATTGGTGAGGCAGGATTTCCCTTTTCAAAAGTCGTGTTGACTCTTCCCCATCATATCGTGTTCATCATTGTGTCTGATAAGTCTGTTCTTTACTATAGTTTTAGCCAGTTTGCTTGGTACTGAAGTTACACTTGCTGGTCTGTAATTGCCAGGATCACGTCTAGAGCCTTTTAAAAATATCAGTGTTACATTATGTATCTTCTAGTCATCTAGTACAGAGGCTGATTTAAACAATGAGTTACATACCACAGTTATCAGTTCTGCAATTTCACATCTGAGTTCCTTCAAAATTATTGGGCGAATACCATCTGGTACTATATATACCAACTAGTACTTTATATATGTACTGTATGTACAGTACTACATTGTTCACGGTCATTAAAGGGTTAATATAGATTTTAAATTGTTCAGTGACTTCAATGTTTGAATTTTGTTCTTTATAAAAATACCAGATTTTAAGAACAATACTTTGATGTGGCTGTTCAAGATCAATTGCTGAATATATAATGGGCACCTCATTTGCCTATATAGTCACCACACTACCAGTGCCTAACTCAGCAATTTATTAAGCATTTCAGGATAGTTGAGCGTGAAGGGAGAAATCTAGAGCAATTTTGTATACTATACTAACAATGCAAATAATTTCAAACCCCATTTGAATAATATTCAAAATTATTCCAGCCACAAAAGTTCAAACACATTCACTGGAACGGCTATGAGAGTTCATTGTGTAGTAGAAGCATCAGTTTGTAGAGAAATACTCTGTACTGGAAGAGATAACATTTTACTTTCAAACAACAAACATTTCTGGAAATAAACCAACTATATGGCCATAAAGATTCTAAGTCATAACATTTCTCATAAAAAATGATTAATCATTACAAAAAGGCAGGAAAATGAGACATCTATAGCCGCCCACCTTGACATTTTCGTTCTTTGAAAAAAAAAATCCCTGATCTAGTTTATGAACAAGAGCTGTCAAGTGGTAGAGATTACTAGATTATTTAATCTATCAAATGTATTTTGAGATTATGATCTTTTTTATTCTTTGCATCAAGAAAACACAGTGACATTAAAAAGCTTTACTTAGAAATCAGATAAACATTGCCTATGAACATACAAGTCTTTAACAAGTGCTCACATTTGCTCCACTGTTTATTTAAACCACACACATAAACACACAGACATATTAATTATTATTATTATTATTGTTGTTTTTTTAAATAGATGCTTTAAATCCCACTCACTTGTAGGAGGGTCAAGTAATATTTATTCTGGGTGATTGTACAAATAATTTAATACCTGTGAAAAGGAAAAAAAAATCTTTCCATCCAAAGTAATGATACATCTGTAGCAATTTTATTTTAATATTATTGCTTACTTGAGTTATTTTTTCAACTCCTTGGAAGCTATGTTTCTCAAAGTGTTCAGCTATATTTATGAAAGTATGACGTTCCAGGTAGCAGCAATTACTGAGTACAATTAAAAGCCTTTGTTCCTAAATCAAGAGATGTTTTAAAAGAAAGAAAAATGAACAGTAATTAGGAAATATCTAGGATAACTGTGCATTATTATGTTTATACACATTTTGATCATGGAAAATGTTTTGTTGACTTGAATGACAACAGTCATATGATAAGCATGCTGATAAATAAAATATAGCTAGCAAATAGGTTTGTAAACAAAATCCTAAGAACTGGTCAACACTGGGTGCAATGATTCAATAAGGGCACTTTTTCTTATGGGCTCTGAGGTCTGAAAGTATTCACTGGAATAATTGTGACTAATATAGATCTGTGATTCAGATCCCATTCCAAAAAGTAAGCCACAAACAGCTTTCCAAGAAGTGGTTTCTGCATTTTACTGTTTTTTTTCTAGTAACCTGTTAAAAATGATGACCACCATAAAATAAAACCAAAATCTTCACTTTCATATGAAACTGCCTGAAGAATTCGGTTTTAACATTCGAGCAAAGGAAGCAAAACAGATATTAAACAAATGCATTCCCATCCTCCAAATTAAACTAAATCAAAGACTGACAGAACTCTAAACCATTTCTGCATATAATTTGAAACGTTGTAAGTCATCTCTGCTCTCCAATTATTTTGTTTTAAAAATCAAATATGGTTCAAAACAGATATTGAATTAGGTTATATCAGGACTGTTGGTCCATAAGACTGGTGCAACAATATGATACCTGAGAGAGAGGCAAGGTCTAGTTTTTCCTCAGGAGGTAATTGGGAGATAGGAACTTTCAAATTATAAACTCAGCTCTGGTGGTGACTTTTTGTGCAACTGTGTGCAAGTCACAAATTGCTCAGTTTCCCTACCTGTAAAAGGTGGAAAATACGTACCTACCTCAGAAGAGAGTTCAAGACAATCATTTGCAAAGTGCTTTAAAAATGAAAACTTTCTGAGGATAAATTACCATAGTGAGGTGTGAAGGAAGTCAATATCTTATTAAGAATGAGATTTGCAATTCCTGATAAATTCCCAACAGTCTTATCAACCGGTAATGAACTACAACGACTAGTGTAATAAATGTGTACTCATTAACCTGCTTACTACTTTGATTAATTTATCATGATTTGTACGTACAATATTAAACACAAACTGTCAAAAAACAATGAAAAATCCTAGGCTAGTCACTTAATACTCTCTGTGCCTCAGCTACTCCATTTGTAAATGGGGGATAATAATCCTTATTGATACCATGTAGTGTTTTGAAATCTACAGATTAAAACTCTTTTAAGTGCCAAATATAGAAATTAATACTCTTTCCTACTTTTGTTGATTAATATCTCATTTGAAGCTTCAAAATAATTCTTAACCAAATTTATTTTTCCATTGTATAAGCCATATGGCTGGTCAAAAGTATTGGGTTACTGGCAATGATTTTGTTTTTGTTAAAAAAAGCACTGAACCATTTGTGAGGAAAAAACCCTCAAAACGTCACACGGACTTCAATAACACAGGAAAATAAAATAGGTTGATAGCAGTTAATGAATGTTCACACAGTACTTGGAGAGTTAAAATGATATAAGTACTAAATTATTATTAAATTTCAGAATTTAGAACTCTGGGTCTAATCCTACAAGTCTTTGCTCACTAATTACAGTTAGACTACTCATGAAAGTAAGGGATATAGTTTCTAAATTCTGCAGGAAATAGATTATTACAAACATATTAAGAGGTTCAAATTCATTCTTTGAGAGGCATAACTTTATATGTTTCAATAGCCCTTGTGCTGGGGGCACGTACTCTATGGGAATGCATTACAGTTCAAATAACTGGGAGCCCAACTTGAACACAAAAAAATGCAACATTAGGAATTTTATGGAAAAGCAACTTTTTCTAGTCTTTTATTCACCACAACACATTCTACTGTAAGGAAGAGACTCACCAAGGCAAACTACATTATTTTTACACATTTATCTCTATGTTCTAAAAAAAAAAAATTTCATTATCTGTTTTAGGAATAAGGTTATTCGCACTTGAGTTTTAACTAAACATCAAGGGCCAGTTCCTGAATTGGTATAAATTAGTGCTACCTTCATTGACGTCAATAGAGCTATGCCAGTTTATATCCATTGAGGACCAGGCTCCAACCCTTATTTTTTTAATAAAATTCATGCGTAAGAATATGTAGGAAATACACTGAATACCAAACAATCCAAAGCTCGAAATACCATTAATATTAGCTTTTCTGATAATCTTGTAGTTAGTAAAGTTTGACATTATTTTGAAAAATGTGACTTAGGAATACACAAATGCATTACAAAAGACATACAGTAAAAGATAAAAGCCTTATTCAATATTTAATTTTACCCCAAAGGACATTTTAACTAGACACCACACTTACGGAAGATAAACTAGAGTCTTCATGAATGCTTCCAAATAAATCAGGAGATGAAACGTCAACTGAAAGACTGAAAATATTTTGAAAAAAGTGAATAGGAGACTATTCTTTTTACTCTAAGCATTTACAAATCAGCTATGATGTGTGCTTGCTGGAGAACAACATTTCTATTTCTCAACAACTTTCGAGGTTTTGACATGCGGAACAAGGTTCCAAATAGAACAAAACCAAAACCTTTCAAACATATTTGCAAAATGGAATTGGGTGTAAATTCCATTTTTTTAAATCAAAAATATCTGGTCTTCAATTTGTCTCTCTCTCCCCCCAAGAGTCAGTCAGCCCACCCTGGACCTCGGAGACCTTCTTGTCAAAAAACTCGTCAAAATCAATATGGCTTTGATGAAAAATATTTAGTCGAAAATGTTCTGACCGGCTGTCATGCTGGGTTCAGCTGAAAAGACTCTAGAAGAAGTTGGAGTGCTGTGTCAGAGCGTCTCATACCATGGAACAGAAGGCAGAATGAGCTGTAGAGCTTTTCTAAATCACCCACAAACTGAACAAGAGCATTGGGAACAGGAATTGCCATTCCAGCAATCGTATTGGGGGAGGGCGGAAGGTGGAGTCGCACCTTTCTGCACTTTCTTTGATTTGCAATAAAATAGTTTCTGTTTTCGTCTCTTATACATCAACTAAAGGTCAACCAAGTAAAGAGAAAAACAAAGGTGGTCTTTCAGGATACAGTCAATCAGTTTTAATTCCAGGCAAATCCAAGCAATATTTTCTGGTTCCTTGTTTTACTCAGGTAAATTTCTAATTTGCCTTAAAATTCAGGTTCTTATGACTCCTCAGATCTCTGAAATTAGTGGTTGATGGAATAAAAGCAAAATTGTCAACAATTTAGTAGATATGTTGATAGAGTTAGGAACATGCCAAAGACAGAGGGCAAAGCAAGGAAAATACCATTCCCCATTGGTAGATGTTATTCAGTGACAGAGGCAACTTCTTTCATATAAACTGCTTGGAAGCTATAGCTGTGACAAAAACCACCAGGCACAGATATTACCATTAGAACAAAAAATGGGCTAGTTTGGTGTAACAGTTACAACCTTTAGAAAGATGATTCTCTTTGGGAATCAAGCAGAAGGATTTTGAATAAGCTAGCTTTCACTAAGCATTACAATAGCTACTAAGAAAACAACTTTTAAATATTCATCATATTTCATTATCTTATTCAAATCTGTATTTCATTTTTATTTTTTTGGGGTATAGAAATGTTCTACTTGGCTCCATGGCATTATTGGTCAAAGCCAAAATTGTTCACAAAAGCTGTCTAATAGAAATACCACAGGAATACTGGTGAGGAAAACCTTTTTGAAATTTGCAACTTCAAATATTCCAACTGTATTATTTTACTTACTGTGTGGTATCTGCATCACCAACAGGCTTCGTGCTCAGTTGTTCCAGACAATCTATAAAAACCTATAAAATAATTTAAAAAAAATTCTGAATTTTCCATCAGAGCTGAACTACTGGTACAAAACCTGTAAAAGATTTTAATTTTTTTAACTGAATTTTTAACTGCAGCACGTAAGCAGAATAATCACAAATACCCCAATTTTCTTAAACCTCAAATAACTGAAAACAGTAGCATTTTAAATCAAGTCCGGCAAATGTTTTCATTATCTTGTTAGCCTTTGTTTTCCTGTGGAAAAAAAGATCTGTGCTATTTCTGTGTACTCTCATCTTGCTAAATGACCTCCCAAATCAGAGTTGAAATCATAGGACTGAGGGTCCACTGGTTTACAAGGAATGTATCTTTAATGGCTTTAAAGGGCTTAAACAGAGACCCCAATGCAAACATCTCTTAAGCCCACTACGCGTCATTTCTTTGGTCTGATTTGTGACATTTCATTTGATAACACAATACAAACAATTGTTAAAACTGCTTGGTGTTGCTTTATTATCTTAACATTTTTTCTGGGTTATTATACATTTAAAAGATTACCTTAAAAATTTGTTGCAAAGAGCACTGGTTACTAATATGAAACTAAGGGCCAGATCCGCAGCTGTAAACTGGCATAGCTCCACTGATTGCAATTGAACTATGCCAATTTATACCAGCTCAGGCGCTTTCCCTTAGTTTCGTATTAGAAACCGGTGCTCTTTGAAACCAAATTTTAAGTTAATCTTTTAAATATATAATTAATAACCCAGAAAATGCTTGAAGTTAAGCTAGTGCTTCAAGTATATGTTTGAAGTGTTTAGGTGCCCTGATGAATTAGGGCCTTAGAAACCCCAGGAAGCATTAAGCATCATTATCCTTAAGAGTTACTGTAATTTGAAGTTACGATAACACTTATGTCTGGATGATCTGAATTAAACAGTATCTGACATCTTATCACCTTTTATTACTTTTTAGGGAGGAATGGATACAAAGTAAGCCCTTAATCACTCATTTATGCTCCCCAATTCCAGTTTAAAATTACCTGCATGATACCAATGCTTAGCTGGCACACATCCTCCTGTGTTTTTTGTTGCTGGAAAACCTGAAGAAACAATCATATAACTTCAGTGGAATAGCTTCAGAAGACCTTCTTCCAAAGGAAGTGAGGAAAGGGAAGAGAGTTATAAATATCAAATCTAGTTTCTCTGTATACACTGCTCTTGTGAGACTCCCCAGGGAAAGAAGAGTGGCTGGTAGAACAAATCCTATGTACAAACACAATGGATAGGGGGTGTGGGCATCCTATAGTGAAGGGGTAAACACAATGACGGGAACAATACTTGCACATGACGCTACCTAGCTGTGGATAATTCCAATTCTCCATACCATGAAGGTGAAACTGTGATTAGAAAAAGGTAGGAGAAAAAATAAGTGAGTAAAAGGGAAAGTAGTAGCTAGATTTCCTTCGTCCTGTATGTCACAGAAACTTGGAGAAAAAGGTTTGTAGCAACATGTAGGATGGGGAAAACCAAGTGAAGCTGAAAAGAGAACAGGGCAATAGTAGAAGCTCTTGGGACTTCTCAAGATCATCTTTGCTAGCATGTGAAAATCATCTCATGGGGAGTGATTGTGAAGTAATATCCCCTTTTGGGTTCTTCTGGGAAACCCTCATTGGGGGAATAGGATACCTTCGTCATACATGGGACAAAGAAGAAGAGAGCAACAGCAACAGCACCCAATCCTATGAGATGTTGAGCATCTCCTGAAGAATGCTCTCATGTCTTCCTGAAGTCAATGGAAGTTGCTCATATCTTGTGGCATCAGGTCCCCAAGGCAGTAAATGAATGGGTTAGAGTTTATCATGTGGCATACTGCAGTAGGGAAAACAAAGGGTTGTTCCGAATGAAGTCTAGATGTGATATGTATTTGTAACTGGCTCTCCAGGGTACCTACATCGTAAGATCATACCTGCTGTCATTTGAAAGCTACAGGTCATAACCTTTATTACAAAAAAATTACATTTAAATACAGTTCACTTTTTGCCCCTTCCCAAACAAAAGGTACTATGAGTGCAATTTGAAAACGGACTCAATATTGCAAGGGCTTTTTTTTTGTCAAAGTGAAGAAAAAATACTGCGAAGCTTGAGTAATTTCTTAATTCATTTTATAATAGCATCTCTGTATTATCCACTAACACTAATAATACATAATGAAAACATATTTATACAGTAATTACTTTTAAAATTAATAACAATTTACATGCAAGGAAAGAAAAAGTAAATAACAAGACTTACACTGGCTTCTCCAGGTTTGCAGTCCAGAACACTCTTGAGTGACTGCAAGGAATGCACAATGCATTGTTCAAACTGGGATGGCTGAAAGTAAAAAGATTTTTGAGTTCCTAAATGAACGTGCAATGTATACTATACAAACTATTAATATACATTTTTTTTTTACAGTAACAGAGAAGATACTCATTTTTTACTGATCCAAAATGGAACCCCCCCCCCCACAAATTTCATGATACACATACCACAGAAATCCCTTGTTTTAATGATGTACTGTCATACTGAAGCAAACAAAAATAATTACACAGATCAATTTTCTCTGCAAGTGTCTGAATGAGAGAGTCTTCCACTGAATGGTTTCTTTGCCTTAAGCCCGCAGTGAAGTTCTTATACCTTGTTTGTGATTGCACGCACAGCTACTCAGGAAAAGTCTGGGGGTAAAATCCTGGCCCCATTGTAGTCAATACCAGAAGTCCTATTGACTAACAGGACCAGGATTTAAATTTAATGGGGCCATTCTAGGATATCACGAATTCACCATTATGATTTCACTATCATGAAATCATCAAGAACAAGTAGGGGTGGATTGGTTTGGAAGTAAGGCAACCTTGTCTATTCAGAAATTGCTTTGATACTTTGCAAAAAAAAAAAGGCATGGAAACATGCCAAAAAAATAAAGTTACATAGGTCTTAAGGTGTATAAATCTAGATGCAAACGAATTTGTAGCATTATCCCTGTTAGCCAATCTCCCCTTATCCATCCTCTCTTGCTCGATATTGTGCCACTCTGGTTAGAGACCACCTGACGGCACTAGGGGGAAATTGTGTTTCCAGAGGGGAACATGTAAGTGAGAAAGCTATCTCCATGCTAGAAAAAGGGACACCAATCCAGTTGATTTGGTTCAAAAATGGGAGCCAGAAACTTCGAAGTTCAACTCCTTATTCTGCCCTTTATCCTTTGTGTAGCTTTGGGTATGTCTACACTACAGGATTAATCCGAATTTATATAATTCGAATTTTGGAAACAGATTGTATAAAGTTGAACGTATGCGACCACACTAAGCACATTAATTCGGCAGTGTGCATCCATGTACCAGGGCTAGCGTCGATTTCCGGAGTGTTGCACTGTGGGTAGCTATCCCATAGTTTCCGCAGTCTCCTCTGCCCATTGGAATTCTGGGTTGAGATCCCAATGCCTGGTGGGGCCAAAAACATTGTCGCGGGTGGTTCTGGGTACATCCTCCCCCCTCTCCAGGGAAGCAACGGCAGACAACCGTTTCGCGCCTTTTTCCTGGGTGAACAGTACAGACGTCATACCACAGCAAGCATGGAGCCCGCTCAGCTCAAGACAGCAGTCATGAACATTGTAAACACCTCGCGCGTTATCGTGCAGTTTATGCTGAACCAGAACCTGCAAAAACTAGGCAGCGAGGAGTAGGCTACGGCAGCGCGGCGGCGAGAGTGATGAGGACATGGACATAGAATTCTATCAAACCGCGGGCCCCGGTGCTTTGGAGATCATGCTGTTAATGGGGCAGGTTATAGCCGTGGAACGCCGATTCTGGGCCCGGGAAACAAGCACAGACTCGTGGGACCGCATAGTGTTGCAGGTGTTGGACGATTCCCAGTGGCTGAGAAACTTTCGCATGCGTAAGGGCCCTTTCATGGAACTTTGTGACTTGCTTTCCCCTGCCCTGAAGCGCCAGAATACCAAGATGAGAGCAGCCCTCACAGTTGAGAAGCGAGTGGCGATAGCCCTGTGGAAGCTTGCAACGCCAGACAGCTACCGGTCAGTCGGGAAGCAATTTGGCGTGGGCAAATCTACTGTGGGGGCTGCTGTGATGCAAGTAGCCAAAGCAATCACTCAGGTGCTGCTACAAAAGGTAGTGACTCTGGGAAATGTGCAGGTCATAGTGGATGGCTTTGCTGCAATGGGATTCCCTAACTGTGGTGGGGCGATAGATGGAACCCATATCCCTATCTTGGCACCGGAGCACCAGGGTACCCAGTACATAGACCGCAAGGGGTACTTTTCAATGGTGCTGCAACCATGGATCACAAGGGACGTTTCACCAACATCAACGTGGGCTGGCTGGGAAGGGTTCATGACGCTCGCGTCTTCAGGAACACTACTCTGTTTAAACGGCTGCAGCAAGGGACTCTTTCTCCGCCGCCTTATCTGAGATAGCCTTCGGGACGGAGGAGGGAGGCTTGAAAAATTTGCAGCTGCTGGAGGGATGGAAAAAAGGAGAGAAGTTTTTAAAAAGATACATTTTACAGAACAATGCTTATATTCTTTCATGGTGAAAAACACTATTCACATTACATAGCACATGTGATTTCAGTACAAGGTCGCATTTTCCATCTTAATATTGATTGCCTGTGGCTTTGGTGTTAGAGATCACACCAAACACACAGGTCCGGGCAACAGAATTCGGCTTGCATGCGGCCATGGTAAGCCATTGTCTTTCGGCTTCTGTGCCCTCCTTTCCCACATACCAAGCAAAGCCCGTTGACTGCTGCGGTTTTCCTGTTAACCTTCAGCAGCCGAAAACAAACTAAACCTTCCCCCCATCCAATTCTCTGGGATGATCGCTTTATCCCTCCCCGCACTGCGTGGCTGGTATCAGGGAAGATCCCTGCTAGCCAAAGGCGAAAAGCTCAGCGCCAATTCCCCCCGCCCCCCTGCGCTTGGCTAACTGCAGGGAAGGATTTCTTTTCAGCCACAGGCAAACAGCCCAGTAGGAACGGCCACCTCTGTCCCCTTAATTAAATTCCCGTATTTCAACCAGGTTACCATGAGCGATATCACTCTCCTGAGGATTACACAGCGAGATAAAGAACGGATGTTGCTTGAATGCCAGCAAACATCGGGACCATACGCTGCCAGGCTTTGTCATGCAATGATACCAGATTACTTGCTACTAGCATGGTGTGGTCAAGTGTCCTACCATGGAGGACGGAATAAGGCTGCACTGCCCAGAAACCTTCTACAAAGGCTTTTGGAGTACCTCCAGGAGAGCTTCATGGAGATGTCCCTGGAGGATTTCCGCTCCATCCCCAGACACGTTAACAGACTTTTCCAGTAGCTGTACTGGCCGCGAATGCATCCCAAGTCCTCAGGGCAAATTAATCATTAAAAAACGCTTGCTTTTAAACCATGTTTTATATTTTAAAAGGTAATCTCACCTGAGGTCCCTTCTATGGGGTCATGGTCTTGGATACTGGCTTGGGAGGGTACTTCAGTCAGGCTGAGAAAAAGATACTGGCTGTTGGGGAGACCGGAGTGCTGTGCGCTCTCCGGAAGCTCGTCCTCCTCCTCCTCCTCTTCCCCGTCCGCAGAATCCTCAGGTGTGGCTGATGAGATTATCCCCGCCTCAGAATCCACCGTCAGAGGTGGGGTAGTGGTGGCGGCCCCCCCTAGAATTGCATGCAGCTCAGCGTAGAAGCGGCATGTCTGCGGCTCTGACCCGGATCAACCGTTTGCCTCCTTTGTTTTCTGATAGGCTTGTCTGAGCTCCTTGACTTTCATGCGGCACTGCTCTGAGTCCCTATTGTGGCCTCTCTCCATCATGCCCTTGGAGATTTTTTCAAAAGTTTTGGCATTTTGTCTTTTCGAACGAAGTTCTGCTAGCACTGAATCCTCTCCCCATATAGCGATCAGATCCAGTACCTCCCGTACGGTCCATGCTGATGCTCTTTTTTGATTATCGGCCTGTATGGTTATCTGTGCTGATGAGCTCTCCGTGGTCACCTGTGCTCTCCACGCTGGGCAAACAGGAAATGAAATTCAAATGTTCGCGGGGCTTTTCCTGTCTACCTGGCCAGTGCATCCAGAGCGGTCACAATGGTGCACTGTGGGATAGCTCCCAGAGGCCAATACCATCGAATTGCAGCCACACTAACCCTAATTCAAAATGACAATATCGATTTTGGCGCTACTCCGCTTGTTGGGGAGGAGTACAGAAATCGATTTGAAGAGCCCTTTATTTCGAAATAAATGGCTTCGTTGTGTGGATGGGTGCAGGGGTTAATTCGATTTAACGCTGCTAAATTCGAATTAAACTCGTAGTGTAGACCAGGCCTTAGAGTAAGTCACTTCACTTTCACTTCCCCAACCTATGATATTAGGATAACACTTATCCACCTCACATCGGTGTCATGAGGATTGATTCATGTCTGTAGAGCAATTTGAAAATCTAAAGCACTATACTAAAATGCTATTTATTCATTTTTAGAACAAGCTCCTGAAGACATACAGCAGAGAAAGAGAGCTAAATGGGCAGAAAAAGGGCATACTTTCAGTGGAAAAGTAAAACACTGCTACTTTTATTTTTGTTCTCATGTAGATTTTTATTGCCTGAGAAGAAAATAATAAAGCTTCCCTGTACATTAACCTTTGTGCATTACAGGCCCCATGGCTGTAGGTTTCTGACAACAGTATCCCAATATATGTTTTAACAGCTGTATAAATATCAAGGATGTTAATAACTAATTTTCTTGCATGCATTTTACACATAGTTTAAGCTTAAGCTGTCTCCAAAGGGCCTCTCTGGCCTTGTTTACCCTCAGAAATTTTGCTAAAGTTTCCCACCATTACGACAATTGATTCAGATCCATCAGTGGTGGTAACAATGGGATTATTCATATAGACAAGGCATCAGCAGTTGCCAGTATTTTAAGCACCATGTCATGCTCTCAGCAGGGTTAGATGACACCATACTTGAGACGGTGGCAGCTCCCTAAAGATCCATATACACTAGCAATCCACCCACGGTTTCTGCTGCTGGCAGAGCTAAACTGGTGGGAAATTTTTGCAAAAAATCCTAGGGTATATATAGCTTTGGAGCACGGTAATGAAGCACTAATAAGATTTTGTTTAGATTTATTAGTTCTACAAAAGAATGACCATGTATGCAAACCTAGATGGAAGAAGGAAATGGGGCTCTGGTCTGGACTGAAATGACCAGAGTACATTGCAATTGAAAATAAAACCCAGAAGTCATGACTCCCAGTACTGTATTTTAAACCCAGACAACGCTCCTTCCCACATTATGTGTATCTGGAATGCTTCACGCCCTCCTACTCAACTTCATTCAAATGTATTTATAGTAACAAACAAGCACAACTTCAGACAGATGGCCTACCGAGTACTCTCTTATATAATACACACAAAGCTTAATCCTCCCACAGCCATTTCTGCTTTCTCAGATTGTTTTTAAGTCATGCCTACAATGTGCTTGTCATCTTTTAGCCATTAGTCATTACTATTTTCCCGAAAGCACCTCACTAATTTATTTTAATATGGTTTCAAGTTGTTTATTGTTTGTCTGTGAGCAACCTCCTAAATTAGTTGGCTCTCAGTTAAATTTCTCATTATACCAGAAAAGCAACTTTTTATATCTACTACAGTCCAGCTTCCATGGTAACGAACCCATTAAGTTATGAAGCACTATGACGTGGACTGAACTTGCCACAACCTGAGAAAACAAACTGTATTTTAGCAGAACATCCATAGCTAAAAAAGAAACCTTTTTTTTTTAAACCTCAACACAATCTTACTAAGGAAGATCAGTAAAAACTTTATGGGGGCACATTAAATCCCCCTCCCCCAATCCTCTCAATTTATATACATGCTAGCCTCTTCTCCATGTGATTCTTTACATTCTACTCATATTAAAGGACCGAATACAGCAAAGCTTTACTCATATGAGTAGTCCTTACTCGTGGTAGTAGTCCCACTGACATGAATTGCTACTCACATAAATAAAGATTATTCACATATGGCTCTGCAGCACTGGGACCAAAGTCACTGCTTTTGAAAACCCCATCCATAAGCTGAAATTTATCTAGTTTTTAATACTACTTTGAACTGTGCTTATGCTCACTGACACATGTAAGAAAATCCACCAGGAGAAAAATAACTCTTGAAAGAGGGAAAAGGTGAAAGAAGAGAAAAAGTAACTTTTGATTTTGTGATAGGATTTATACCACCATGAATATTTGAGAAAGTGAGCAGACAGAGGGCAGAAAGAATTCACATAGAAGTATAATCTCTCCTCCATCTAAATTCTAACCCACTTTAGATGGGAACTGATTAGCTTTATTTTGTACCATATTTTAATTATTTTAAAAATACATATGCACACACATGTGTAAATATAAGTAAATGTATAACACGCTGCAAAACTTTTTATGAAAAGAAAAATGAAATTTACACAAGTCCACCACATGCACAAAAAATGGGTGCCCAGAAACACACAAAGTGTACCCACCAGAGATGTTAAACCTTCATTATCAACCACCCAGTCTTCCTTTTCAGCTAACCTCTTCACATCTGTAAAAAGAAAAGGTGTTAAAATGCTAGGTTTCATTATAAAAAACTCCTTGAACTTAACAGAGATAAAACCACAGGCACCTAAGTGTGATGAACAGGCATACAAGTACATTGGCCATACTTAAAAGATTTCAGACACTTTTCAAATGACTAAGAATGGCACACACACATAGTTTGCTGCTGCTTTCTCCTACAGAAGTAAAATTTATGGTGCATGGCAATAGTTGCATAAAGCCCACCTTTTACTGGAAATCTTGAGGTTAGAGAAATATTGTTACAGTCCTCTGTTTTAAAAAAATGGACATATCATGGCTGTGTACCCATAATATAGGCATTATATTTGGGAATTCAAATGTATGTTTGTTTTATTATTCCTTGCTCAATGCAGATTTAAAATAACAAACCCTCAAGTACATAACTTAATCTGAGATCAGGACAAGTGTTAAGACTCACATAATTATATTAAATATTTATAATATGTTTGGGTTGAGAGTCATCAGGATCAGGACTCCATTGTGCTAGGTGTTGCTCAAACTTATAGGAAAAATCCATCCAGGCTCTGGAAGGCTTATAAGAAGAAAATGAGATAAGAAGTGTAGGAAATGGAAGGGGAAGAAGAGGAGTATAACAATCAGTTATATACAATTTAGATACCTATATACATTTGCACGTTGCCCCATTTACCCTTCAACCTAGTCATCATTATTTGGTAGACTTGATTGATTGATAGGTGTTGTGGCAGAGGAGCATCTTGAAGTACATTCGAGAAGCACTATACTAGGAAAAAGTGACTATGCAAAAGTAGCAACTTGTTACCAACAGATCTTCTCCTGAATCTGAATCCTGAATCAACTTTATATTTGTTTTTACTGTTGGTTTATTCCCTTCAGACCTTTAGATCTAACACAGATATAGAGGAGGGAGCTGAATTACATTCCTTCTTATTCATCATCAAAAGAACCGATTACTAAGTTCCAGTCAGTTACACTTGTACAACCCTCACTGCCTTATTAGGCATTAGCATAATTTAGTTTGCATGACCTTTGTTGCCAGTGATGATGCATGAGAAGGAAAGAAACCAGCTTGACTCTCAGGGCCCAGGCTGAGTTTACAGGGCTGTCAACTAGAAAAACCCTCTTTCATTTACTTGTAAACTGAACACGTTTATCACTAAAAGACAATAAGCATCCCACAGTCATTTCCAGTTTGACAAAACCTGATTCCAGCAAAAATCTATTTGCAAAATAATCATAGGCTCTATCGCTGAAAGTAAGAGCTACAATACAAGGTAAAAGTATCTTCAAAACCAATTTTTTTAAACCATTAGATTGCTGTTTAAATTGCATTTACTGCTGAAATTTTGTTTGCAAGTCAATAACAAAATAATGTACAACTTAGTGCTGTGAGACAGTTTACATAAGAAGAGAACTCCATTACCACTATATCATGTGGCTACATTCTTTCAAAAAAATTCATTTTTCTTAAATTATAGAATTGAAAATTAAGCAGCACTGTAAAAGCACTTTCGCCCATGAAGATGAATAAACTACAAATTATTCACACAAAGACGAGGCACAGTATAATCCAAGCAAGAAAATGTTAGAGTTGCAGTTAATGTTCTTTCTTTAAAGCAGACGCATCAGTGGAATAAAATTATGATTGGCGTGAAATAGAAATAGTTTTTTTTAATGCATATTGCAAAAGAGGGAGCTGAATTACATTCCTTCTTGTGCATTTTCAAAAGAATTGTTTACTAATTTCCAGTCAGTTACACTTGTTCAACCCTCAATGTTTAATTTGGTATTAGCATAATTTAGTTTGCATGATCTCTATTGCCAGTGATGATGCATGAGAAGGAAAGAAACCAGTTTGACTCTCAGAGCCCAGGTTGAGTTTACAGAGCTGGTGATTAGAAAAACAAATAGATTAAAGCCATTAAATCTAATAAATAGGATTTTTTTTTTACAGGAATATGAAAGAGTAATCAATGAAGGCATGACAAGGGAAGTGTTCTGGTTGGATTTCAGAGGCACTAAATGGACAGTTAGTGTGAATTAACAAATATAGGCAACAATGTGAATGTAGCATAAGAAATCAAGAGATAGTTAAGGGCCATAAATGCTCATTAATATTTGCAAAATATTCTGAAAATGAAAAATATTATACAGTATAAATATCAGATCTGATTATTGGTGTTCTTCTCAGAGAGGTCCAGATTCAGTAAAGCACTGAAGCACATGTCTAACTTTAAGCAAGTGAGTAGTTCCACTGACTTCTCACATAGGATTACTCATGTTCTTAAAGTTAGGCTTAAGTACCTCGCTCAACTGGGGCATAAATCGAGTAACAAACAGAAATAAGGTTGTTTAAAGGAACAGGAAGAGACCCTGCTTGCTCCAGTTTGTTTGCTCGATGGTTCCTGCATTGCTTTGTGTATATCAGTCAGCATGAGGATCATTACATTGTCCAGCATGCTGCCCATCACAGAATAAAAGAAGTTTGATCAAACCAGTGGACACCATGAGCCCCAGATGAAAGAAAAGAGCTGGGAAGAGAGATCTCTAGCCCACTGATGTTAATTTTTAATACATCTTGAAAAACTGGGAAAATTCCAGAGGACTGGATGAGTGCCAATATTCAAAAAGGACAAAAAGGATGACCCAGGTAATTATAAGGCTCGCTAGCCTCAAATCAATTGCAGGCAAAATAAAGGAAAAATGTTTGTGGGAGTCAATCAATAAAGAATTAAAGGATGGGACTATAACTATGCCAATATACATGGTTTTATGGAAAATAGATCTTGTCAAGCAAACCAAATTTCATTTTTTTATGAGATGCCAAGTTTGGTTGATAAAGGTAACTGCATAGGTGTCTAATATACTTATACTTTTATAAGGCATTTGATTTAGCACCACCTGACATTTGTATTTAAAAAATTAGCACTATTCAATATTAGTAAAGCACATGATAAATGGATTAAGAATTGGCTAACTGAAGTAGTTGTCAAAGGGAAATCATCATTGAATAGGGGAATTTCTATGGGGTTCTGCAATGATCAGTTTTGGGACTGACACTATTCAATATTTTCTGAGTAATCTGGAATTAAACATAAAATCGTTGTGGATAAAATTTGCAGATGACAAAGACTGACAGAGTGATAAATACTGATGAGGAGAGGGAAGTCATACAGAGTGATCTGGGTTGCTTGGTAAGCCGGGCCCATTCAAACCAAACGTGTTTGAATCAACCCAAATGCAAGGTTATACATCTAGGACCAAAGAATGCAGTCCATACCTGTAAAATGTAGGACTGTATCCTGGAAAGCAGTGACTGATAAGGATTTAGTGGACGAACAACTGAACGTGAGCTCCCAGTGGGATGCTCTGGCCAAAAGGGATAATGTGATCTCTAGATGCATAAACAGGGAAGCTGTGAGTATGAGCAGGAAAATGATTTTACTTCTGGTGATACTAATACAGGAATAATGCATCCTGCCCTGGTGACCAGATTTAAAAAACGATGTCAAAAATTGGAGAGTGTACAGAAAAGAACACAAAAGTGATTTGAAGGCTGGAAAAAATGCCTTACAGTGAGAGACACTGGGTAATAAAGGGCTCTTTAATCTAGTGGAGTAAGGCATAACAAAAACCCGTAGCTGGAAGTTAAAAGCCAGACAAATTCAAATTAGAAATATGGCACAATTTTTTTTTAAATAGTGAGGATGATTAACTATTGGAACAAACTAACAAGGGATATTGCCAATGCATCATCTCTTGAAATCTTCAAATCAAGACTGGATTTCTTTTTGGAAAACATGCTTTAGTCAAACAAGTTATTGAGCTTAAATACAGGGATAACTCATTGAAATTCTATGACCTGTATTATACAGGTTAGACTAGATAAACTAATGGTCCCTTTTGGCCTTAAAAATCTATGAATCTACGACCCCAATTTGCTAAATAGGACTCTAGAGACAAACAGTGAGTATCCCTGATAAAATTGCAACTAAAATATTGTGTAAAGTTTTTAAGATTTGCTCACTTAGGGTACGTCTATACTTACCTCCGGGTCCAGCGGTAAGCAATCAATCTTCTGGGATCGATTTATCGCGTCTTGTCTAGATCCCGGAAGTGCTCGCCGTCGACGCCGGTACTCCTGCTCCGTGAGAGGAGTACGCGGAGTACGTGGAGTCGACGGGGGAGCCTGCCTGCCGCGTGTGGATCCGCGGAAAGTTCGAACTGAGATACTTTGACTTCAGCTATGTTATTCACGTAGCTGAAGTTGCGTATCTTAGTTCGAAGTGGGGGGTTAGTGTGGACCAGCCCTTAAAAAAGAATATCCAAGTTTGAGCTAAAATTAAAGAACAGAGTAGTAATAATGCTGATTCATTGCATGGAACAGCTGTGTCATGACAAAAAGTACAAATAAATTAAAGCGTGTTTGGTTTGGAAAAAAGACTGCAACTTAGTGAAAAAAAGTGGCTGCCTTATATTAAAGGGGGAAAAAAGGCTCATAATACAGGGAACCAAGCAAGTATTGTTAGGGAAATGATAAAATAACCTAATAGGTCTTGTATGTTGTGACTCTGTGAATTACAGGTGACCGTATTATTGATTCAAGTACCTAAAGTGAACACAATCTATTCTAGAATGCAGTCTGATTTAACCAAAGAGAAAATAAAAAATCCTAACCATATGCATGTAGGTCTGCACATGTCTTTTTTTTTATTACCTTCAGCTGTGTGTTGTAAGGTGACCATTATACAACGTACTCGAAGATCCAAAATAAGATCCTGGATGATATGAAGCATATCATTTGGTATTTCAAATGCAGTAAGGGACTCATAACTAAGCCTGGATGGAGAAGAAAATAAAATGAAGGTTAGGTTTAAACCTACAGTTTTCTAGACAATACTGCTAAATATCACAAAGTTACTTAGGAGTTTCTTTTGCTTATGGATAATATTAGTCCTCTCAACAGTAAGCTTTTTAAACTGTGATATCATCCATAATACCATAGGTATGTTTTACTATCTGGTTCATTCATTTGTTGAAACCATAACAGTACAGAGCTTCACTGTTGTACTGTATAAACTTGACAAAGTTTAGGCCACTGATGTACTAATACCACTGCATATCACAATGAACAATATTGTCTTGTCGTTTCTTTGTAATTCTCCATCTGTCTGTATCCATCTGTTGTCTCTTGTTTTATACTTAGATTGAAGGCTCTTTGAGGCAAAGACCGTCCTTTTGTTTGTACAGCACGTTACAGAGTGGTGTTTTGGTCCATGATCAGCACTCCTAGGGGTGATCATAAAATAAACAGCAACAGAGCCTGCAGTGAAGGGTAACGTGAAGGTATACCACCCTAGCAGAGCATAATGGTTTGACGTGCCAATAGGGAACACAGATACTGTGCCATCTCTAAAGACAGTGCAGCATGGACTCACCCAACGCAACTTAATTTCCCCCAGCCCAGCACCACTGACTGGTGTGGAAGAGGGTGGAGCCATGCCTTATCATTCTCCCTATGAGGATTGTAGCACCCTATATACTTGTAAGGGGCAGCATTTACAGTCTTAACTGGAGGGCTGCAATTGTGCCAAATCTTTACACAGGGACACAAAGGAGGACCGGAGAAGAGTTAAGAACACAAGAATGGCCATCCTAGGTCAGACCAATGGTCCATCTAGCCTGATATCTTGTTTTCTGACACTGGCCAATACCAGATGCTTCAAAGGGAATGAACAGAACAGGGCAATTATCAATTATCCATCCCCTGTCCTCCAGTCCCAGCATCTGGCAATCAGAGGCTCAGGGACACCCAGAGCATGGGGTTGTACCCACGCCATTTTCGCTAATAGCCATTGATGGACCTATAAGAACGGCCATACTGAGTCAGACCAAAGCTTCATCTAGCCCAGTATCCTGTCTTCTGACAGTGGCCAATGCCAGGTGCCCCAGAGGGAATGAACAGAATAGGTAATCAACAAGTGATCCATCCTGTTGCCCAATCCCAACTTCTGACAAACAGAGGCTAGGGACACCATCTAATAGTGACTAATAGTCATTGATGGACCAATCCTCCATGAATTTATCTAGTTCTTTTTTGAACCCTGTTATAGTCTTGGCCTTCATAACATCCTTTGGTAAGGAGTTCCACAGGTTGACTGTGTGTTGTGTGAAAAAATACTTTGTTTGTTTTAAACCTGCTGCTTATTAATTTCATTTGGTGGCCCGCAGTTCTTGTGTTATGAGAAGAAGTAAATAACATTTCCTTATTTACTTTCTCCACACCAGTCATGATTTTATAGACCTCAATCATATTGCCCCTTAGTTGTCTCTTTTCCAAGCTGAAAAGTCCCAGTCTTATTAATCTCTCCTCTTATGGCAGCCGTTCCACACCCGTAATCATTTTTTTTGCCTTTTTCAGAACCTTTTCCAATTCCAATGTATCTTTTTTGAGATGGGGCGACCACATCTGCACGCAGTATTCAACATGTGGGTGTACAATGGATTTATATAGAGGCAGTATGATATTTTCTGTCTTATCATCTATCCCTTTCTTAATGATTCCCAACATTCTGTTTGCTTTATTGACTGCCGCTGCACACTGAGTGGATGTTTTCAGAGAATTATCCACAACGACTCCAAGATCTCTTTCTTGAGTGATAACAGCTAATTAAGACTCCATCATTTTATATTTATAGTTGGGATTATGTTTTCCAATGTGCAATACTTTGCATTACTATCGTCAATGAATTTATCGAATTCTTTTTTTACCCAGTTATAGTTTTGGCCTTCACAACACCCCCTGGCAATAAGTTCTAAAGGTTGATTGTGCCCTGTGTGAAGAAATACTTCCTTTTATTTGTTTTAAACCCGCTGCCTATCAAAGACACTACACTGGCTGCATCTCCTTGATGTTTCCGAATTGGGCAAGAACTAGGCAAATGGAGCCACTGCCATTCTCCCTACCCCGATCTTGAGCAGGGCATAAGTATCGGGAATAGTTAGCAGCAGGAACCAGGCTCCAAGTATGGGCACTTGATAACCCTCCACCAACCACCAGGACTTTTGTGGGGTTGCAAAGCCATCATCTTTCCTGCTCCTCTTTCTGAGCAGAGTGCAGGCACTGAGAGCAGCCATCAGCAGGGGATGGACACAAATCTTCAAACTTTCATCACTCTGTGTGCCACTATCACTGCCTTGTGATTCTGGAATGTCATCTGGTAACTATCAACAACTTTGTTCACACCACTACTACTGTCTGCTCAGCATGACCACTTAATTAGCTGATTATAAGCCATCATTAGTTCATTTAACCATCTAGGAAATGAGGAATACAAGCAGTGGTCACCGGTGAAAACTCTGGTTTAAGTGACTAGCCCAACATTACATCAGAATTTAAGAGGAGGCAAGGACAGAAACCAATTCTCCAAGATGACATTCAGCTGCCCTATTTATGAGGCCATCCCTTCTCTTCCTGCAATCTCCTGCCTCATTTACTACACACCTTTCAATTTCTAAAACAAATGAAAAAGAGGTCCTATAGACAACAGCCTCATTCACTACACAACCATGATTCATCTACAGAGCACTGTCCATCCTGTGCACTGAGACAAGACTCCCAAGGAAAAAATATAGCAAGTGATCATGTAATTACAGACTGTATCATAATGCATATATACACAAGTAGGCTGAATTAATCTTGCACAGGCAACCTTAATTTTGACATTTCCTAACTTTTGTGTCCTTGACTTTGCAACATTAACGATCTTTCAGTTGAACACAAAACAAATAAAAAAATAAGGCACAGTTTAGACTATGTTATACATATTAAAGACTCATACCACACAGACCAATAGCCCCAGTTACCTTACAGTCTGGATGACATGTGTTAGCCACTGTCCAGAGAGTTCAGATTTCATCTCCCAGCCACCATACTGTCTCAACTCTCCTTCTCTGAGGCTGAATGGAAGCAAAGCTCCACGGATGAGTTTTGCCAGGGACTGCATCACCTCCTGAATCATTTTCTGTCACAGCATAAAAGAACATCACAAAAATAAATACTCAGGAACTGCACCAATATTTTTAACCAGTTATGTATTCATCACATAATCTAGTCTGAAATGGCAGGCATACATTTCAAATTTCACTAAGGAATATAATTTTACTTACATAGCAAACATCCACATAACAAGCACTACAGCACTGTACAACATAATTAAAACAAATACAATATATAAAACAAAAAAATCACTTCAACACAAACAACATGGTCCAAATTAGGACAGAGAAGGCAATAAACATAGGCTAATAAGGGTCACTGCAAAAAACAACTGTGAAAAATAAAGATTTAAGATTTATTTATTTTTAAAGCAGGGATAAAATAAAATGGATTTTAGGGGTTGGATATAAAGAAAGTGAGTTCGAAGATGCAGGGCCCACCACAGCCAAAGCGTGATTGTCTGTAGAGGCTTCAGATGTGATGGCAGGTTCTTAAATGGCCAGTGATGTGTGAGCATACTTGCCAGAGCAAGGTATCTGTCTTTTTCTTAGATTGTAGTCTCTTGTAGAGCAAGGATCAGGGCTTTTTTTTTGTGGGGGGAGGGAGGAAGTGACTATTGTTTTTTGGGTGCCGAACCTAAAACAGCTTAAAGGGGCCTGATTATTACAGGGTCAACGCTCACCACTATTTGAAAATTAAGCCTTCTTCAGGTGTCTTAATCTGAAAGAGCACCTAAACGAAAATAAGTCTGCACACCAAGCTTACCTTGAAATCATTTTGTCTTTGCCTAGCATTCTTCTTTGCTCTTTCCATTTGACCAGATTTTTCAGCAGTCTTGTAAAAATGAGAAACAATTGAAAAGTATCAGTGTCTGGTAACCACGGCTTTCAATTTTAAAACCATTCTAAAAAAGATGCATCAAGGCAAAGGGGTCAAAAATGCTTCGTAAGTTTACAATGGAATAAAAGAAGCTAACTCAAGTCACATCTACAAGCGAAGTCTCCACAAGTCAACAAGTATTTATTTATAGTAGCTATCAAGCTGCTAGTGTTTAAGTGTGGGGGGACAATGTGCCAAAACAACCTAAAATAAAAGGTGGAAGTAAAATAACAGTGTAACAAGTATAAGCTTCATTGAAGTCAAGCAATATTTTCCTATTATGATTTTGCATTAACATTGTTAAAAGAGCTCTAAAATCCATGGCTCAATCCTGCAGTAAGTCTACAGGAAAAGAATCTTCAAGTCCCCAGTAGGTGAGAGGTGCCTGGAGGAAAATTTGGGTCTAAAATAAAGTACATTCTTTGTAATGATGGATAGTGCAGAAGTACTGTGTGTTCTCCTTTTTCTTTTGGCTTAGTACTTTGTTTCAGAAGACAGAGTCCATTATTCTCCAAACTGAAGAACTAAATCATCTGTAATGGACTTACAATGAAGATTTATCATCATCTTGCTGGACAATTCACATATCTGAAAATTTAGAAGCACCAAAGCACATCTGCACTAGCAACTTTGGTTACAGTTGTGTGAAGAAAAGAATATGGCTTGAACAGTGCTCTTACTGTTAGCAATTTTCAAATGCAAGTGATAATTATATATTTGTGTGTGAAGTGTGCCATAACACAAAGCAAGTTTCATAGAAAAAGCTGTTTAAAAGATTGGATTAGAGAAGTAGGTGGAATTGTACAGCTAAGAACATTTGCTAATTTAATGTATGCACTGTGACACCTACTGGACAAAAGTATACTAGCAAATTGTAGTTTGGAAAAGATATTCTTAAAACTGTCCTCAAAGCAGTAATATAATCAATATATTTTTAAAATGACTAAATAAGTTTCATTTTTTTATAATTCATCATTTGTTAGAAGTTCTTCAGATTATTTTGTAGTTAGCATACAATTACCAACAAGAAATTCAAATAGAAAGAAGCTTTTCGTCAAAAACACTTTAGAGTTTTTAAATTCTCGGTTTTCCTTTATTATTCTGAACTGTACCATCTTATATTAATCAGAACAATTCCTGCATATTACTGATGAACCTCATATGTACTGTCCTCTTTTTTATTGCTTTTTTCTGATTAAAAAAAATCAATCATATTGAATAAACTTCTCTATGCTGCAGGTACCTTTTAAAATGTTACTCAAATAAAGTTTTAAACAGTTTTGATTGCTCCCTTAAAGCCCTGATATGAAGTTATATTAAAGAAAAAATACAAAAGATCTTAAAATACTTTTGCCCTGAGTGATTTCGTTGAATAAAAATCTTAACCCTTTCCTGCACAGACAGACCAAAACTACTTTGTGGTAAGACCAACGGTTATATTTCACTGTTTTGACTTCACATATGCTACTTCATATGGATCTGAGTGGTTCAAAGAGCTGCAAACTTTTTAAGCTGTTAGAAATAGCACATAAATCTTTAACTGTCACTATTCTAAGACTAACAGCCTACCTTTATGCCAAGAAAAATATATATAACTTCACAACAGAAAATAGAACCAGCTTGTTATTTATCACTGGGTTTTTCCTTTGTATTAGAGTTAATCTATTTCAGGCTTATGGATTTCAATCAAATGGTTCTCTATACATTGTTCTCATGATTTTCTCTCTCTGTCTTCAAAATTATGGTGAACAACATTTTGTTTTTCATATGTCAATAAATAGCAAGGAAATGTAGTAAGGACACCTTCAATGATGCCTAAAATCCGTACTATTGGCAAAATTCTACAGCTTGTGGAGGTGTTGTGGCTGAAGCTCTCCTCAGGAGCTCCTAATGAGGTTTCCTAGGCCCGCATCCATTTTTGGATAGCTAGTGGCAACAAGAGCCTGCACTGTCCACAGGATTTTGGCCATTTCCTACATATGGACAAAAAAGGAGCAAAGGGATGAGGATGAGTTGCTTGTCCAGTCAGAATCTGGCCCTATGAAAGTACAGGATAGGTACCTCAACAGTTTAACATGCAAATTAACTCCAACTTTTTTGCAATGGAAACAATGTTCTGACCAGGCATTATACAAGATTGCTGCATTTTCTCTTGCACTTACTCTCACAAGCAGAACTGCACAACTTTGTGTACAATTGTAAACATAGTGTTCGTGTCTCTTGAAATTTCTCACAGACAGAAAACTACATTAATTTACAGTTGAGGTTTTAAAGTCCAAATCCAATCTCTAATAACCAGAAATGTATTATTACCAAAACTGTAGTTATTTTCAAATTAAAAGCTTCAGGAGGATTCTCATCACTTTCACTAGAGAATAATGGCATGATTCTCTATGGAAAAAACACTGGGTAGGAGTCAAACTCCTACATTTTAATACTGCCTCTTCTTCTCGATCATTGTATGGCATTGACAAATGCATGTTCTCTCTTTCCCTCGGATTTCCATTTGTGAAATGGGGAAAACAAAATGCATCCACTTCTGAGGATTTTAGGTGAGCGGCAGACACGACCGATTTGGTCAACTTAATGTACCCTCTGTACACACATGCACATCATACATCATTTGGAAGCTTATTAGGTCTACTTGTAGATGAGGTATGATATGGAGCCATCATGTGGTGCTATTACCATAGAAATGGGGGATAAATACGACACCATAAATATGTTAAAATGATCACTGAAATAATTTGCATTCATTTCTTTAGTTTAACGACACTTATTCAAAGACATAAAATTGGATTTCTTTGTGACCTCAAAGCACCACTGCAACAATCTAAACCAGCATTTCTCAAACGGGTCCGTGGACACCTGGGGGTCCCTGAGGATACCCCAGAGGGTCCGCAGGCCCCACTGATCAACTCCTCCTCCTCCCTTCCAGTGCCTCAGTCGCACTAAAAGTCCGGTGGTGCAGTGGGGCGAAGGCAGGCTTCCTACCTACCCCAGCTCTGCGCCGCTTCCGGAAAACGGGGGGCTGGGGTGGTTGCAGGGAGGGGGTCTCTGTGCGCTGCCCCCACCCCAAGCGCCGACTCCAGAGCTCCCACTGGCCAGAAACTGCAGCCAATGGGAGCTGTGGGGGTGGTGCCTGTGGGCAGGGGCAGCGCGCAGAGACACCCTGGCTCCCCCACCTAGAAGCTGCTGCCAGAGAGATGTGCCAGTTACTTTCGGGAGCCACCTGGGGTAAGCACCGTCTAGACGGAGCCCTAACCTCCTCCTGCATCCGAACCCCCTGCCCCAGCCCAGAGCCCACATCCAAACTCCCTCCCTGAGTCCACACCCCTCACCCACTCCTGTACCCCAGCCTGGTGAAAGTGAGTGAGGGTGGGGGAGAGCAAGCAACAGAGGGAGGATGGATGGAATGAGCAGGGTGCATGGCGTCAAAAGGTTGGGGGCAGGGACGTGGCAAGGACTGAGCGGGAGGCTTGGGGGGTCCCAAATTTTTTTAAAATCAAAATGGGGGTCCTCAGGTTGCTAAACTTTGAGAGCAGCTGATCTAAACAATCTAAAACAAATCTAGTAATACATTTGTATTGGTAGAATTGAAACGTGATAACGCTGGTGACATTTCTGGACAATTATCATCATCTTGTACATCATTATGATCTCTGGCAAGAGTGAGTGGGCTACCACTATCTTTGTTGCTTTGGCATGTATACAGTTCTGTGCAGGCAAGAACATTATGACTACAGACACAGCTGATTGCTCAGCAACCCTTACTGGTACAATCACAAATAAGGTCTTGTAGAAGCTCAGATGCCACTGGGCCTTTGAAGAATAAAGGAAGCTGTTCATCATCCTCATTTTTCCTTCCATGTTGTAATGGTGATCCATGATTTGCTTTACCTATGTGTGAAGACATCCAAACCCTTGTTTGTCAAGATGCTGTTTTGACATGCTCTTCAAAACTCTCCTCACATGGTGGGATTCTGGCCAGTAACTTGTCCTTCTTGATGGCTAGATTGAGGTGCAAGCAAGTCAGGTTTTTGTGGGTCTCCTCTTCTTTCTCACTCTGGTCATACAGGACTGCTATCAACTTCCTTGTTGCAGAATTTGAAGCTTATCCATCACAATCTCCCAATTTGGGAGGCTTTGAAGAGGTACGATCACTTTGTTTCGACACCATTAAACAGATTTTTTTCTCCTATACCAAATAGGTATGTCAGAGAGTCACATGCTGTTAAGGCATGTAGAACAGGAAGCATGTTGCAAACATCCAGAGTGAGTGCATCACAAATTTCATGCACGGATATGAAGAGATACTTGTTAGTTATGCTGGTAATGATGGCTGTTTCAATCTACATGTTATCTACGTGTTCCATTTCTGGAAAGTAGTGAACAGCAATGACCAAAACATCTGTATCAGGTGACCTAATTACAATGGTTCCTTTGATACCAAAAGCCATATTGGCACATACAACATACAGAAGCATCTTTGTATCAGCTTTCTCTTGAATACTGTACAGGCTTCTTCAACAGCTCAACTGGTGATGGACTTTGCTGCTTCACCACTGGAAAGGTGGTGTTTGTGTTGGGTGTGCTCCTACACTCAGGTGCACTTTGAACCATACATTCACAGAGGAATTTTGCAACTGAGTGTTCGTTGGATGCCACGTTTTAAAACATTTTCCCATGGGGGCACAGGGCGTCCACCAATCACCTGGTATTTCTTGCATCCAACCATAGATCCTGTTCGGAGCTATCTTTCTGAAATTTTCAGAGTTACTATTGTCATACCCGTCAAAGATTCCAATTAAAGAATTAGCTTCAAATCCATTTAGGACCTGCCTCAAATACTCAGTAGCCAATTTGTCAAATGTGTAGACTGTCTCCAGCTATCATTTGTATGACAGCCTTGGCATCTGAGAGGTACACTATGGTTTCTTTGTTGCATGCTCTTAGCTCATAGATTTTTTTCAGCTTGAGCTTTCCACTGATGCCCTAATTCAGCTTTGTCTGTTCTTCTTATTGTTCCATCACCATGAAAAAGGAACATAGGCACAGATCCTATTGGGTGACTGAGGGTATGTCTATACTGAAAAGGCTACAGCGGCACAGCTGCCGTGCTTCAGCTGCGCTACTGTAACACTTCAGTGTAGCCACTCACCACAATGATGAGAGAAATTGTCCTGTCACTATAGTTAATCCACCTCCCCGCAAGAAGTGGTAGCTAGGTCGATGGAAGAATTATTCTGTCAACCTAGCCATGTCTACACTGGGGATTAGGTCAGCATAGCTGTCTGTCTCGGGGGGGGCGTGTGTGTGGATTTTTCAAACCCTTAAGAGACACAGCAGTGCCAATACAAGTTTTCAGTATTGATCAGCCCTAGGAACAGTTGCGACTGAAACATCATCTCTCCATCTTGCTAAGGACAGAGCTCAGTGGGAAAACAGTTTTGGGACTGAGAGCTGTTATGATTGTCCCTCCTTGCCAGACTTAAATTTAGTCTTCTTGGCTATGTCAGCAGATGTTTTGATGCCAAATTTCTAGACTGGGCTGAAGAAGCTTCATGTGCCATCAGAATCAAGTGTACCTCTCACAAATCTCTCCATTTGTTCTTCACCATCTGCTATTTTCAGTAGAGACTCTTGTACAACTGACGCTATGAGTCAGGGTCAAATCGGTTTCTCATATTGTTGATGACATGGTTGATAAGAGCTATAACATGCTCTTCATCCCTTTTCATTACAGAGGCAAGAACTTAATTGTGGACTTTGTCTTCACTACTTCTTGTTAGGTCCTTCTTTTTCTCATAGCTTTTGCATATTCATAATATGAAGCTCTGTACCATCATCTCTAACACTAGTACTGACCCATGCATAAGTGTCACTGAATTAAAAAGCTAGTTTCTAGAATATTTCAAAGCTTAGTACTTCATGCATAGGCAGTACAAATTAAAATCTTCTACCAGGCAGACTAGATGCTACATTGTTTTGTTCAAATGCTTACAAATGGGGAAGCATTACATTAGGAATTCACGTATAGTTATATCTACCCACTATGCTGTACAAACTATGAGAATGCAATCTACTGCTACTGGTGCATAACCTTCAGCGTGAGACTGATCTGATCAGCACATTTCAACTGAAAATAGAGAAAACTATTATAATCACTTGTGAGATACTTTGACAATCAAGAATATGCAATGTGAAAACATTTCATGTTAGGAGATTGCAAAATATTGATATTTGACATTTTTGTCACATGCTAACCAAATTCATCATTCCTGGAAATAAAACAAAAAACAAAATTTGTCCATGCAAAACCAATACAATCTTTTAATACAGTCATTTGGTAGTTTTGACCAATAAACACCACATGAAGGTTTAAAAACTGTGATCATAGTCATGTTGCAGTGTTTCCGCAACTGCGCAAATATGACACTCATTTTGGGTATCACTGTTTCACCTCGCCTACAGGTTTACAGCACCACTTGACAGTTCCAAATCATACCTTATCTAAATGCACTTAAAATAAGCTTTCAAATGATATCTAATGTAGGTGTGTAGGGTGGTTACATTATACTCCAAAAATATGGCACATAACATTTTTCTAGGAATTAGACTGAAATCAACCTTCATATTTGGTAAGATAACCTAGCAATTGAAGGTTCCCTATTCTATTACCAGATAATGCCTTTCATCATCATTGGATAATGGCATAATTATACTTCCTCTTCTAGGGATGCCCCACCCTTAGTATCCTGCTACTGGAAAAATAGAGAAATGGCCAGGCCATTTTCAGCCTAACCTTTTCTGTCAAATACACTGTAGTTTTGTAAACTGGTGACTAACAATTATACAAATCAAAATATATCATTATATTCTCTAGTTATAAAGGTTATATGACAGTATGTTGTATGCTATGCATATCTGAGTAATTACTAAAATTATTAACACTGTCATTTTATATGATCACTGGTTTAAGTTACATTTCTTTTGATGATATAGCTTGAAAAATATTTTCTGTTGCTCTGGGCATGATACTGTATTGCTACACAATTAATGGGCCAGATTTACTTAACACAAGTCTGGACAAGGGGCACATACAATTGTGACACATGCCACTACAGTTATCTTGCACGTAGATTGGGCACACTAGTGTGTGTGTGTGTGTACGTACAATTCTAGGCTTCTGTCATCTTGAAACTCTGGGGTTAATTCTATCCTCACATCCAAGTTCTTTAAAGTCACAAAATATGTATGTCCATTCCAGAGTCAAACACTATTCCTCTAGCTTTGTCTCTCATATCTTTAAGATTCATCTAGTATATCATTTCTTAAGATTACCAAACATCTTGTCTCCTTTCTTAGATGTTGATAAATGTAAAATCCAACATGGAACAGTTGGCTCATGATCTTGACAAGCAGACCTGAAACTATGTACATTTCAATGGTCACTCAGAGAATTATACTACAGTACAAAATAGTTCCTATTGTGAAGCCTTTGGGTTTTTTTTTTTTAAATAGAATCCTTACATATATGTTTCTAGGAAATTTACTGATTAACATTCATAACATACAAAGTGGATCCATTGCTTCATGCCAAATCAAGCACCAATCAGTAGATGTACAATTGCTTATGTCGTTCTACAAATCTCTGTAATCCAAAAGCTGCAAAAACATCTTAGTCAGGCATCTTCTCCACTGAGGTACTATACTTCTGCAGTTTCAAACTCAAATTCAAATACAAAATCATTCCTATGAGCTTTGTCTATCTGAAGACATTTAGGTTATGTATATGCATGAACCAATACCTCACTGAAAAGGCTTCCATTCACATAAGAAATCCAGAGCTTCCAGAAGTTGGGGAGCTGAATTACAACAAGTTTTGTCAACTTTTCAACAAATGCAACTTGTTGAGGAGCTTTACAACGCCAAGCTAAGAGGAAAAGAGAAAGAATAAATAACTTTGAATTGATAATAAAAGCTATTTTAAACATGCTGCTAGAGTGTGATCTAAAAATAATGGATCTATCATGCATATCTATAATCTCTCAGGTGTGAATGGCAACATTTTACGACTTGGTCCATATGGCATACAGCTTGTGTATGTGCAAGATTTATTTCCATATATTCTTTTGAGGGGGTTGGTACTATAAGTATAATATGTCTTCTATGTAGAGGTGCTCGTATGGCCCCACTGAATTATATTGTACAGCCTAAAAATCCACTTGCATAAATCTGTCTTTAAACCAAGCTAAATGATAACTGAACAGGGAGGATCAGAGGCTTAGCCATTAAAATATAGAGTGGGGGAAGGTTGGAATGTAGGCAGTACAATTGTCTTGAGATTAAGACAAAAGACTGGGAAATGGGAGAGCTGAGTTTTATTTCCAGATCATCCATCGACTTCCAGTGTGATCTCACTCATCAACCTCTCCACAATTTCATTAGCGAAGTCTCCGTTTCCTTCTCTGTAAAATGGGGATGGATACTAACATTGTAGGTGGGAGGCTACATTCATTAATATTTGTAAAGCAATTTGAGACTCTTGGAAGACCAGTACTATTAAAAGTTCAAAAAATCATAATAAAAGTAAGTATAGCACTTCTCACTTGGGACATGAGACCAAAAAATAAGAGAAAAATTATCTGAAGTTGCATAAACCTCTATACAATCTTGGCACCTTAACCATCACTAGACATCAATAGAGTCACAACTTTGGGAACATGGGGGAAGAGGTGGATCTTCTCCCATTTTCTTGTCAGGTGAGAGATGGGAGAGAGGAAATACAGGAGATGGTGGATGAGCATGGAAAGTGGAGGTGAGATAGGAAACTTCCATCTCCAATCATGTTTGTCTTCCCCATGCTGACTTTCTTCATTTGATTATCAGAGCTATGTTTCTTAGCAAACTATTCTGCATCAATAAATAAATGTTGCATGCTTTTTACATCAAGAATTAGATTCCTGCAAACTACGTGGGCACGAAGAAGTCAAAGACCTTCAAACTGATTACAAAGAGGACCTGAAATTTTCTTGTATAGTCTTAGGTCTTTCACAAATTACACAGTTAAAGAGTGTGAAACTAGTTTACATGATTCCATGGGAGCATGGAAGACTACTGGATAGCTTATGGTATTTGTCTTTAATCTAATACATAAATATTGATCATATAGAATAGAAAGTCACCAATTAGACAAACATGAACCCATATAAAACTGGCTGATTAGCTCCGCTGCCAAGGGACGAAAGATGCAACATCTCAGGTGGGGACTTCTGGTGTGGGAAGTTGGAAGGCTCAAAAATCTCTCTTATAATAGAAAAAACCTTAAGTAGTCATTACTGTGGCTGCATCTGTCCAAGATCAGTGCATGATGTCTTTTATGCATGCTATAGGACCTAGATATTACTGAGTTAAAGCTGTAACTGAAGCCATACTTCAAAATTCCTTGCAAATCTATGTTCAAGTCAGAGTCAATGTAATTTGAATTCGCTATTTTGTATTCAACTTTCTTTGAATTTGTTCCAGAATTCACTGCAGCCATAATGATGCATCATGCTAGTGAATAACATGGATAAACGAATCCTCTGAGCAATGACATCAAGTTTTGGCCTAAATATGCTCTTTAATATCATAAACTTTCTATGATGTAAATGTAGATCAATTACATGTAACCAAGGGCAAATAAGCAAAGAAAAGTATAATAGTCCTTAGTGCCTCCATTTCAGGATCTCAAAGTGCAAAAAAATAAAATAAATCAAAAGCCTTTTCTCTAAGAACATCAGGTAGCACAGGCAAACAAAACTAAAAGGAATGGGTAAGATTATTCTAGAATTCTTATGGAAGAATTTTTGGCAGCTTCATAGTATGGCTGGAAAATGTTTTAGTTCATATTGGTAACAAAGTCAAAAAGAAGTTTAGGCTTTTCCTCGTGCGTTTATATGAGATTAACAAGGGGCTTGATGAGACAAGTCCACCATACAGACTGTCCTTTGAAAAATATGTAAGCAATGATAGCATCTTGACTTTTATCTTGCAGAATTTATTACTATTTTTATAGTAACCAAGAGTGTGCTAGACATTTTGCAAAAAAAGAAAGACAGTGCATTGTCTTATCCCACACTGCTTGAAAACTAATTTTAATCATGGAGATGGAGGGAGGAAGGACAACGGAGACAGCAATAAAGTAATGTGCTTACTCCATTTTAGCATATGGATATTTTGGTGGTTCTGTTTAATTTATATTTTTCCTGTGAATATTCAGCATAAAAAGAATATAAAACAATGTTATAAACTTGCATTTAAAGAATAAAGATAAATGACAATTACTTACACTGTTAATAATATAATACCATTTATTTAAATATTTTGGATGTTTTCTACATTTTCAAATATACTGATTTCAATTACAACACAGAATACAAAGTGTATAGTGCTCACTTAATATTTATTTTTGATTACAAGTATTTGCACTGTAAAAAAACAAGTCCACTCAGCCCTACTTTTTGTTCAGAGAAACAAATTTGTTTACATCTGCAGAAGAGATAATGCTGACCGCTTCTTGTTTACAATTCACCTGAAAGTGAGAACAGGTGTTCTCACGGCACTGTTGGTGCCGTTGTCTCAAGATATTTACGTGCCAGATGCGCTGAAGATTCACATGTCCCTTCATGCTTCAACCACCATTCCAGAAGACATACGGCCATGCTGAAGACGGGTTCAACTCAATAACAAACCAGAGCAGTGAGGACTGACGCATGTTCATTTTCATCATCTGAGTCAGATGCCACCAGCAGAAGGTTGATTTTCTTTTTTGGTAGTTTGGGTTCTGTAGTTTCAGAGTGTTGCTCTTTTAAGTCTTCTAAAAGCATGCTCCATAACTCATCCATCTCAGATTTTAGAAGGCACTTCAGATTCTTAAACCTTGGGTCGAGTGCTCTAGCTATCTTTAGAAATCTCACATTGGTACCTTCTTTGCGTTTTGTGAAATCTGCAGTGAAGGTGTTCTTAAAATGAACAACGTGTGCTGGGTCATCATCCAAAACTGCTATAATGACTGCACCACAACTAAGGTGGGGCAGAGTTTGTCTGGGGCTTACCTGAGAAGGACAGTTCTGCTTTATGGTGGCTGGGGGAGGGGGGAAGGAGGTCAGAAACTGCTGTAATAAAGGTGCTTGGTGGTCAGCTTTGAAGCAATGACTCATTCCCCCCCCCCAGGAATGTGGGCTCTGAAGGGCATAAAGGTATGAAACCTGGGTGAGGCAAGTCTCTCTGTTCCACACAGCGAGTAAGCCAGCAAACAGGATCGTGAAGCAGCATGGCTCCAGGGGCATGGAGAAGGGTAAGCTCAGGAAAAATGGGGGCTGTTACTCCCCCCAACCCCAGAGGCAGGGAAGGGCAAGCAGAGGCAAATTACAAGTAGGACACAAGGGGTGTGATTTAGCAAGTGAAGCTGCTGCTAGGTATCTGCTGCAGTCACTAGACAGCGGGGAGGGTGGAAAGAAAGGGAACTAGCATTCTCCTGCCCCAGGTACTTCCACCCATAGACAGGCTAGAAGTTGCAATTGGGGAGGGTGAATTGGCAAGCGAAGCTAGTCAGTGTCTGAAACAGTGTCTGGGAGGGGATGGAGGAGGGGAAGAGGGCGACAAGGGAATTTAACTGTTTCATGTACCAGCCGTGCTGCAAGTAAATGTATGGGCTATCAGGCTGCAATTCAGGTTGCTGCTCAGGTGTCTGTACCTTTGCCAGAAAGGGGACAAGCAGAGGCAGCAGCTGCAGCACGGGGCAGTCCCAATGGAGCCCAAGGGCTGGAGGGGGACCCAAGGGAGACAGTATTGCTGCAGGGGTAAGGGGTGCTCACCAGTACAGTGGCTATTAATGCTCAGGGTGGTGTATTTAATAACCCAGGGCAGCCTCATGGACTGAGGGAGGGAAATGACGGAGGGGAAGCATCCACGCATGCAGGTGGGCAGGCTGTGTGGTCTAATGAGGTAGTCAACGGAGTTGTGCAGCAAATGGTCAGTGAAATTGTTTCTGAGGTTTTCTCCACAGCATTACAGTGCTTCCAAAGGGCACGAGGTCATCCAGAACCAGGATATTCTCCTCCACTGAACACAAGGGATGACAGTAATGCTGATCCCAGGGGTGAGTGTGATCTGAACCAGACAGAGGTTGGGGGGATGGGTGGCAGAGGTGGTATCCAGCCTTCCAGCCTGGCAAGAGGTGGCAGTTGCAGGGGCCACAGCGAGGTGCAGGGACTGTGCTCAATCAGCCTGTCAGTGAGTTCACCTGAAGGGACAGGAGTGAGCCTATTGGGGTAGTGAATACTCTGGGTCCAGGAGTTGGAGGTCCAGAAGCCTGGGCAGATGTACCCAGAGGTGACACCTTCAGTGGGGGCACTGATGGTATTACACAGCTGCTGCAAGTTAATTTGCATTTACTGCAGCAGCTTCAGGCAGTTAGGTGTGAGGGGTCTGCACAGGGTAACAGGGCAGGCCCAGCATGGGCTCAAGTTTGGGCAGCAGAACAGGGACAGGCCCCCAGCAAGGGTAGTGAAGCCTGCCCCTGGGCACATGGGGACTCATCGGCCATCAGGGAATGTAACCTCATGGGACAGAGTAGAGACTCCGGGGGGGGTCGAGGGGGAGCAACTATGAGGGAGCAGGGCTCTGCGGAACTCCCTCCATGCAGTCCTGAGTACGGTTCTGCCGGGGTGGCTGACCCGATAGTTCACCTACGCAGTACAACTAACGACAAAATCCTGAGAGGCGAATACGTGGATATATTATCCCTATTGCACAGGGAGGTGTTGACAGACAGTAAACATAGGCAAAGCAAGCAAAACAGCGAGCTGCCCAAGAGGCCAAGGGTGCCTAGAACATGGGAAAATTGGGAGGCTGCTTTCTTCATCTGTGCAGGTGTTATAGTATAGGCCTACCCAAAGAGGAGCCCTGCCTTGATTAAGTATATGGACATAAGTAGGCGGGCACAAAATGTGGGGCATGTCCTGGTTTAATTATGATGAGCAGTTTCAATTAAGGGCAGCAACACAAACTGGGATAAGGTGGGACATACCACATCACACACAGTGGTTGAAGTGGATGATACCCAAGGGGCCAGGAGTTCACACAGACAGTGATTTGTTCATACCGCAGCAAGCTCGGGAGGGGCCCGAAGCGCATAATAATATTTGCTGGGCATTTAATGATGGTGGGTGTTTTCGAAGCACCTGTAGATACAGACATGTTTGCAGTACATGTTTTGGGACCTATTCAGCCCATTCTTGCCAGAACAGGAAGGGAAGATCACAGAGAGGAAACAGGAATGGGGGTGGCACAAGCGCCAACTGCAGGTTTGGCGTGGATGGAACAGGGTTTGGGATACAGAGCACAAGCTGGGGAGGGGGACAAGTGGTGCAATGGGCACGGGCTCCAACGCCAGTCAAGCTGGATGTGTTAAGGATTCTCCTATGGGATTACCCTAATAGGGCAGATGGGGCATATTTGTAGGAGGGGTATTCAGCAGGATTTCGGATCCCTTTTGTGGGAAATAAGACTCATTTGATGTCAAAAATGTAAAGTCAGTAGCTGGGATGGGACATATTGTTAAAAAAAAAGATTGCACAAGAATTAAAGGAGGGCAGGATAGCTGGGCCATTTGATCGATTGCCTATAGCACATTTGAGAGTTTCCCCCCAAGAAGACCCCAGGGACATACCAATTAATTCATCACCTGTCATATCTACAAGGTGGCTCTGTTAATGATGGGATAGACCTGGCTCTACGTTCCATATGCTATTCCTCCATTGATGAAGCAGTTCATATCGTTGGGGTGCGTGGCCTGGGGTGCTAATGGCTCGTAGCCCACCTTAATCCTCTTACAAGGGTGGTGGATGGTAAGGTCCAAACCATGGGTTGGCTGATATTTAATTAACGCTTATTTTTTTAACGAGTGTCATCAGCATGGAAGCATGTCCTCTGGAATGGTGCCCGAAGCATGAACGGGCATACGAATGTTTAGCATATCTGACACGTAAAGACCTTGCAATGCCAGCTACAAAAGTGCCATGCAAATGCCTGTTCTCACTTTCTGGTGACATTGTAAATAAGAAGAGGGCAGCATTATCTCCTGTAAATGTTAACAACTTGTTTATCTTAGCGACTGGCTGAACAAGAAGTAGGACTGAGTGGACTTGTAGGCTCTGAAGTTTTACATTGTTTTGCTTTTGAGTGCAGTTATGTAACAAAAAATAAATCTACATTTGTAAGTTGCACTTTCACAACAAAGAGATTGCACTACAGTACTTGTTTGAGGTGAATTGAAAAATACTATTTCTTTTGTTTATCATTTTTACAGTGCAAATATTTGTAAGCAAAAATAATATACACTTTGATTTCAGTTAAAACACAGAATACAATATATATGAAAATGTAGAATACCATCCAAAATATTTAATAAATTTCAATTGGTATTCTATTATTTAACAGTGTAATTAAAACTGTGATTGATTGTTTAACTTTTTTAATCTGATTACTTTTTTTGAGTTAATCAAGTGAGTTAACTGCAATTAATCGACAGCCCTAGTAAAAAATGATTCTTCCTTTATGGCTCTTTATGCTGTATAAAAGATAGATTCAAAGTTTGTTTCCTACTTGGCTTGTTTTTAAACTCAGAAACAGCAAGACTTTATTTCTTGGCTTTTGTTGGATAGCTAAGCGGGATACTAACACCATAATAGAATGAAATCTTAGATGTAGCTTCCTCAGCTTCTAAAGAAAAGGTGTGGATGTTGAATTTTTATACCAACTGTTCGTCAGAATTTGCCCTTACACAAAAACTAAAACAACCCCCCAACCCTACTACAAAGTTTTAAACTGGCTGACTAAAAGTTTTCTTCCCTGTAAGGAAGACCTGGATACAAAGATACAAATTCAAGTTTCAGCCACCAGTGATCTCACTACTCGGGGCTCAATGGGACTTAGGTCTGGTCTACACTGCGGGGGGGAAGGAGGGGGAAGCTAAGTCAGTCTAAGTTATGCAACTTCAGGTACGCTATTTTCGTAGCTGAAGTGACGTAATTAAAGCTACTTACCACGGTGTCTTCACTGCAGTAGGCTGACTGCTGCCGCTCCCCCATCGACTCTGCCTATGCTTCTTGCTCCGGTGGAGTACCAGAGTCGATGGGAGAGCATTCAGCGGTCGATTTATCATGTCTTCACTAGACACGATAAATCGACCCCTGCTGGATCGATTGCTCCGGAAGTAAGTGTAGACATGCCTTTAGACTCCCACATCATGGGAACTTAAAAAAAATTGGTTTTCATGTGCCCATCCAGTTCCTGGAAGATAACAGGGAGCTAGGCTATGGACAGCCAGGTAAAATCAAGGCATGCAATCTTATTTTCCCTGTTGGGTTTATAGGATCACAGAACCAGGCCTGGAGGCGTTAAGTAACAGAGGAACATTTAAATGCAGCTGGGGTTCTTACTACAGAGACCAACAGACTGATATGATAAAAATAAGAAAGTAGTTCCTAATGTGCAGGGAAACTCAACATGGAAAGAGACTTTGTTGCCTTGACTGTAACTTGGAAAAGGAGACTTGGATTTGGACCTAGTTTTTATCTCAGCAAGGGGAAGACTGCTTTGGTCTGATGTTTTTTGCTTCAGTAGGAGGGGGATTTTTATTTAGGATTTTATCTATATGGTGAGGATAACTGTCCAGTTTTGTGGGCTCCTCCTTGACTGATCCCATCATGTAATAAGCACACACCCTTTTCACTTTGCAATTTACCTTTAAGAAACTTCTATATCTTTATAGAGTAGTAGAGACAGAATATGAAAATAACTTTCATAGACATATATTATTCTATTATGGACTGGTGGCTCATTTTCTGTCAACACACTAAAACAATGAATATGATTACCCTCTGTCAAATTTTAATATTTGGGGAATACACCATAAAAATACACAGGCCTAGGGATTTGTCAGAAGTAGATTTTTATTTTATAAATGAAACTGATGCTTACTGTCATCACGACCCGACTGAAAGCTGCTGCCCCTTTTCAGCGAAGCAGTCTGACTGAGATGACCAAGTGGAGACGGACGCACATCACTGTCCAGGTCTAGCATGGGGCTATGTAGCAACGAATTGCCTGAAAGACAGTGACACAGTTATTAATATATTTTCTTATGGAACTCCAATTTCATTTGCAGAGGGACTGTGTCAGGTTCAAAATTATGTAATAAAAATATGTCTTCAACCTAAGAAAGAAATGATTGTTCATCCTGTGCAGTAAGTACAGTTCTTTGAGATGTGTCCCCCTATGGGTGTTCACTCTAGGTGTGCTTGCGCTCCTTGCGCATCTGATTGGAGATTTCTCATAGCAGTGTTCATTCAGCCTGCGCATGTGTGCTAGTCAGCCCTGTGCCATTGTTATATAGCACTGTGTGGGTGAACTGCCCTCAGTTCCTTGTCTACCATGAAGACCTATAGCAGAGGGGAAATAGGGCGGATAGTGAAGCACCCATATGGACACATATCTCTAAGAACTACAGTTACTGCACAGGGTGAGCAACCATTTCTTCTTTTCTTCTTCTTCTTCTTCTTCTTCAAGTAGTGTCCCTATGAGTGCTTCACTCTCGGTGACTACCAAGCAGTTCCCCTTTAAGGAGGAGGGGGGCTTTGTAGTTGAGTCCAATACAAAACAGTACAACTGAGCCAAACACAGTATCGGAAGCAGAGTTGTGAGTTATTTCGTAGTGTTCAGCAAACGTATACATTGTAGCGGATTGACATAATTCCGTAATAATGGGCATGTTTTGACACATGCCATACAGATGGAAATGGACCGTGTAGAGAGAGTTCATATGTCCAAAGGAGCTTGAATATTATGAGATTCATTGCAAGGATTAATGCAATCAGTTATCTACATGGAAAATTTTTGATTAGAAATTGCAGACCCTTTTGATCTATCTGCAAGCAAGACAAACAATTTGGGAGTCTTTCTGAAGGTTTAGTCCAGATAGAAGGCCTGGGCTCTTCTGATGTCAAGGACATGCAACAGTGCCTCTTGTTTATCTAGGTGAGGTTTAGTGTGGAACACTGGCAGGTGAACGGGTTGGTTAATATGGAACTCGGAGGAGACTTTAGGTAAAAATTTGGGGTGTGATCACATGACTTTGTCCTTAAAAATACTGTGAAGGGGAGGCATGACATACAGGCCCTTATTTCCCCAACCCATCACGTTGACATGATGGCTATCAGGAATGTCATTTTCATTGATAAATGGAGAAGTGAGCAGGTACCCATCAGTTCAAACAGTGGTGATGTAAGGCATTTAAGACTAGACTCAGGCCCTAAAGCGAAATAGGATGCTTGACTGGGGGGAAAAGATTTACGATCACCCTGAGGAACCTCACTGTCATTGGGTGGGCAACAGTGAAAGAATTCTCTGTTGGAGAATGGAAAGTCATGACGACTGCCAGGTGGACTCTAACAGAGCTCACTGATAACCCCAAACTTTTTAGTGTTAGGATATAGTCCGGTACATCTGGTAGTGATGAGGTCACGAGTGAACTATGTTTGAGGTCACACCAACAGACAAATCTGGTCCATTTTTTGAGAGTATATGTAGTGAGCAGACAGTCTTCTGCTGTGTAATAATACTCTAATTCTTCTGAGCAGGTCATTTCTAACCCCACAAACCATCGACCAATCACACTTTGAGACAAAGCACTCCAAGACGGGTGAAGGATTTTCCCGCTTTCCTGAGAGAGGAGATGAGAAAAGGCCTGGAGAGTGACTGGTGAGCAAACAGCCAGCTGATTCAGGTAAGGAAGCCATGTTTGTCTGGGCCAGGTTGGAACTATAGGATGACTCTAGCTTTGTCCTTTTTTATTTTGTAGTAGAACTTTGGCTATTAGAGGAGTCAGTGCAAATGTGTACAGTAGATTCGATGACCAGTGAAGGTGAAAAGCATCCCCTAGGTACTGGGGACCCATCCCACCTCTGGAGGAAAACTGGGCACATCTCTTCTTTATTGCTGTGATGAATAAGTCTATTGGGGGGCAGGGCATTGCTGGTATATGTGGAGTAACATGCTGGAATCTATTTCCCACTTGTGGTCTTGAAAGCAGTACCTGCTGGGTGTATACACGGTCACACTCTGAAGCCCTGGAAGACAGGCAGCTGTGATGATGATCTGATTGCATATGCAGGTGGAGATGCATGAATTCCAAACCTTGAGAGCCTGGGCGCAGCAGGGGGGATCTTGCTCCTCCTTGCTGGTTGATATAAAACATGTGTGACATATTGTCTGTCAAGATCTTTATGTACTTGTCCCTGATTAGTGGTAGAAACTGGAGACAGGCATATCTGATCACTCTCAGTTCCAGGAGATTGATGTGTAGCGTGGTTTCTTGCAACATTCACTTGCCCTGGGCTGTGAGAGTGTCCAGATGCGTTCCCCACTCTAGCAAGGACATATCCATCGTTAATATGACCTTTCGGGACTTCCGTGCAAACATTGTGATGGTCTTTCCACCAATGGAGGGATTCCTTTATGCAGGCGGGTATGTAAAGTAGAATATTTAAACTGTGTCTGATGAATAAACAGTACCAAGCCACCCTTGAAGGTAGTCTTGTGTGGTCTACGATGAAGGTACCAGCTGCCACATGCCCCAACAACTGAAGACTGTTCTTGACCCGGGTTTGAAGGCTGAGCTGGATTGTATTGGTTATGTTGGAAAGAGCCACAAACCTGTGCAGTGGGAAGGTAGGCTCTTGCCATTACTGAATCGAGATGAGCTCCTATGAATTCTAAGTTTTGCACAGCGGTTAAAGGGAATTTTTGAATGTTCAATTGTAGGCCCAATTTGAGGAAGAGTTTTATGGCTTTGGAAGTAGTAGACTGTGAAGTTAGTTCCAGGGAGCAACACTGCAGTAGCGAATAATTTAGGTAAGGGAACACTAAAATACTTTGCCTGTGGAACTGCCTCACTACTATTGACATGATCTTTGAAAAGACCCTTGGGGCAGATGATAGACCGAAAGGGAGCACCCTGTACTGAGAGTGGCCCTGACCAACAGTAAAATGTAGGAATTGTTTGTGAGATAGGCAGATCGCAATGTGGAAATATACCTCCTGAAGGTTGAGGGCCGAGAACCTATCTCCTTGATCTAGTGGCGGAATTACTGGTTCAAGTGTCACCATTTTGAATTTTTGTGTCTTCACATAAGTGATGAATAGCCTCAAATCTAGGCTTGGTCTCCACCCACCACTCTTTTTTGGTACCAGAAAGTGCCTGGAATAAAATACGTTTTCTGTGTACTGCACGGGAATTGATTCTATAGCACTCATGCATAGGAGAGAGTCTATTTCTTGACAAAGCAAGCTCTTGTGAGAGAGGTCTCTGAAAAGGGAAGGGGAAGTCAGGTTAGTTGGTGGACGAATAGTAAAGTGGATGGTGTACATTGTGGAGATGATCTCCAAAACCTATTTCTCTGAAGTGATTGATTCCCAAGCTCACCTGAAGTGGTAAAAGCAGTTTCTGAAGGGAAGAATGCAGGTGAATTGGTGCAACTAGTAAGGATGAGGATGGTAATTCAGACCCTTGACCAGCTTGTCAGAATTGTTGCTTGGAGGTGGAAGGGTATGAGGTCGAAGGCTGAGAGATAGATGGTTTCAGTCTCTGGAATTTCTCTCTCTTCTGATATGGCTCATATGACCTCTAGGAGGTCAGGAATTGGGCAGGGGACAGGATCTTTGAGCCATATGGGAGTTGCTAAACCTTCTCTTGTAGGCAGATGTATAGATCCCAAGAGTGCAAAGTAGATCTGGAGTCCTTTAACGTGCGCAGAGATTCATCCAAGCTGTCTGCAAACAATTTAGACCAATCAAAAGGGAGGTCTTCCACCGTATTCTGGATCTCCTGTGGAAATCCAGAGAGATGGAGACAGGAAGTCCATCTCATAACTACCGCTATAGAGACTGAATGGGTGAGATCTGCAGGGAGTTGGCAATTTTCCTGATCAGATTCTGAAACTGCTTAAAACCATTTGCAAAGATGGAGGAGGCGTAACTGCTTCATCCAGAGATGAAGAGGAGATGACGGCTGAAGGAGAGACCTCTTCATCCATCTCTAGCTTCCTGCTCCTCAAAGATTTCTTCTTGAGGATCATGTCTCCTGGAAAGGGCAGATGATGAAGGCTGCCTAGCTATCTATGACTGTGGTGCTCAAAACCCTGGAAAATTGATGGCAATAGGCCGCCCAAGGGTCCCAGTAAGACAAGGTGGTGGTCCATAAGGCATAGGAGGGGGCACCCATTGGTGCTCAGACCAGTGAGTTGGTGGTTGCGCCCTTGTGTCACAAGTGGTTATAGGCTTATCAGACACTTCTGGAAAGGGGACCTCTGTAGGGGTGAGGAGAGCCTTAGACCAATATTTGGGAAACTGAGGCAAGGCCTTCATCAGAGTCCTCCTCCTCAAACTCACTGTAGAATGGTGGAGCAGCCTGAGAAATTTAGGGTGAAACCATAAGTACCAGGTGAATTTCTGGCAATCTTGATAACCTCAGTACCGAAAATATGTTGGAGTCAAGCAATGGAGAATCGGGTATCTTGAGTACAGCCAGGTCTCAGGGAAAACGAAACTCCTGTGGTACCGAGTATGCTGTCATTACTGAGTCCATGGTTTGCACAGAGATAATAGTGGCCGAGGGAGCAGATGGTACTGTGAATCTCAGTCACTCTGAGGAAACATGGTAGGAGCCCAAATCGGTTTCTTCGGTACTGATGAAGCAATGGAAGAGCTCCTCTTGATACTTCAGTCCACTGATGGTACTGATGATCTCGCCTGACCAAAAGCTTTGCCCTCTTTCAGTCTAACGGTGCCCTTGGTACCTGAGAAAGCAGCAGCTTCATGGGGACCAGACTGGAGAGCAGATGGCGCTGAAGTAACTGAAGACACTGACAACCTTGGTTTTTTTGAGGTAGATTCTATACCTGGTAAACACAGGACATGGGCTTTGGAAGACTTATGAGAGGAGTTTTGGGTCTTCATCTTAGATGTCCTCCAGGAGTGTGGCTCTGAGACAGTGGAGGCAGGAGACTTGCTCAGAGACTGGTGTACAAGAGGGGTCCCTTGGCTGGGTC